ATTTTTGTCTGTCTGTCTTTTTGTTCGGGCTAATCTCTGAAATGGCTGGACCTATTTTGACGGGACTTTTTTTGGCAGGTAGCTGATGTAATAAGGAGTAACTTAGGTTATTTTAATTTTAGTAAAATTCTTATATTTTAGAAATATAAATTTAACTTCCACGCGGACGAAGCCACGGGTACAGCTAGTGTAAAATATAAAAAATAACGTAATATTCATGTTACTCTAAACCTGTAATCAACTCTCATTAAATCCAACCATTATGACTACGTTTATCCAACAAAATAATTTCATCCACATTGATTTCAGATTAGAATTTTCCAAAACAACATAGAATTTCACTAATAAGAGTGTCTAGACGAGATCATTAGCACTTTTGGTAGATAAACTTAATTAACTGCAAACGAATTTAAATCTTATTAATTACGGCATAAAGTATAAAATCGTAAAAGTTGCTCACTACCCGTAATCCCCCAGTTTTCTGGCATGGAATGACCATCGCGCGTTTCCAGACCTTTCCTTACCAAACAGATTTCTTTTGAAGTACATTTCCAGTAAATTTGGCACGGCCCCTGCCATAGTCAGCACAGTTCACAAGATTACGGCGGTATTGCAGTGAATGCAAAAATACAGATAACAAAATGGAACAAAGGGATAGAAGCAACGGACACAGAAATTCCATTTGCATAGTCAATATCGTTATTGAATGGTAAATATTATTATGCTAATAAAAACAGAAAGGTAACAAGTTTGTAAAATAAGCTTGTAAAAATTTGCGTTTTGTTGTTTTACATGTTTGTCGGCATTATAATAAAAAGGGGCATGAATATAGTAAAAATCTCTACGAGAGTCGAACTGATTAACATATCTTTGACTTTCTTGGTTTAATGATGATATTCAATTTTATAAGAAATAAAATTCAACTTGGTAAATTGAGACCTGTATGAGTTGGTAAATTCTCATACACTTTCGAATTTAAGAGAGATTTTATAAATTCTTTTGATGTTTTAATGTTGTAACTGGGACTTCGTTGTATCCGCTATAGTAGAATATTTTATAAGGTTTTTTATATTTAGTTTATAAGGTTTACGTTTTTCGTTATTATTATTATTATTTCTATAATTAAGAAGCCTACTCTAAAATCTCTAATAATACGGCTCTCAGTCTATTAGGTGATTGTTACTTCACCCTGTTTGAAAATAAAAAAAGAATACGAAAAATCCTAGCAAAACAACCATTTGTTTTGACTGTATATATATTATACTATATATATATGATACTTGATATGATTTCTGTCTCCCCATAAATTAAATAGAGAGATATTTTCTTAAGAAATTGTCTGTATAGTCCGCTTCTAGCTCATGCCTCTAGCAATGAACGAGGGTCCAAGACACGAAGACCTTTTCCATCTAATAATTATGGCCAGTCTTTCGGAAATTATTGGAACAGAATTCGTTTTCGATAAAAGCAACTGGAATATTGAATCCTTGAAGTGCGCCAGACCTCTTTTATGGTCCCTGGTGTTTATAATTTGATCTGAATCCAATAAAATCCGGTTATATGCATAGAATGTATTTTTATACTGCAGATTTTATAAATTCTGACCCTTTGCCCTTATTGGAACCGAAATGGGTGTTTGTTCCCTTTGCTAATAAATCATTGCGGACTCAATGTTTGCATTTCAATCTCACTTGTGAAAATTATATTGTCAGAATGAAGAGAAAATTTATATAATGATTTTTAATATACCTGTATAATGATGTAACTCCAAATCTTTATATAATTATCTGTATATTTGAATAAAAACAATTCTGATGTAAATTTTTTTTTATTTGTAATTTGGTTTTTAATTTTAAAGGTGCTCATTTTCAATATTTTATGTGTACACGTGTTGTATTAATCCTACATCTTTCTGTTTTCAATTACATCAGAAAGGAAAAGAAAGAGAAACATAAACAGTTTCATTAATACCTGAGTATATTTACAATTGAATCAAGTATTTTTACATTATTATTTCAATGGAAAATTTTAATGGGTTTGAAAGTTCATAATCTGCAAAAGACTTACGTATTAAGCGTATAACTTATATTGTTTTTAAATAATCTTGATATTTATATAATCCAAGATCTTTTAATTTTTACATTACATACATAACTTAATATAACATCCGACAAGATAGATATAGTCCTACAAATGGAATACAGGATACAACCAAAAAGGAAAACACATTCGCCACTTGAGCTTCTAAATAAAATCATCAACTTGTTACACAGGGTTAAAAAGCAAATCGGATACTGAATTGCAGGAAAACCTTATATCCCCTTCCTCTACATATACTAGAGAATTCAATAAACATAAAAATAAAATGTAATAAAACTTCGTATCAGTCAGAAGCACGCGTGGGGTTCGGCATTTACGATATAGACATCTATGGTAAAAGGTTCAACGTGAGTGCGTAATGCTAAAATGAAACGTATTTTGTATTTATTGAATGTTTCCATTTGTATTTCTATTTGCACCAAAAAATAATTTTAAAAATAAATATATATAGAAAACACCAACGTCAATACAAACACTTATACTCATGAGTGCAAAACAAGTGTTTGCATCATGCGAAGAATGGAACCTGCGACCATCGGACGTAAGGCAGTATGCTAAACCGCGATACCAACGAGATCGTCCTTATTATGACCTATTTAAATAAAAATAGTATTGGTCTTTTTTATTAAAATGGAAGTTCAATTATTAGATACCATACGATGGGTAATTGGATGGGTAAATGGACGTAACGAATGTCATGATAGAATTGCCACAGGTCGGTCCATGTACTAAATAGAGGAGTTTTGAGGTTGCCATTTGGCAAGCTTTAGCCCAGCAATGGGATACAGATTACGGTTAAAATATACTAAAATAGTCGTAATATAATTCTCAGATAGATAAAAAATATAACTTAATTGACATAATGTTTTTTGTGTGTCAATCAGACTGGATTTTTTTAGGATCCACTAGTCGAGATAGAAATAATTTATGGACAGTGGGTTATGACGCTATATATCAAAGTAATTTCTTCTAGAGTATCCTGTTCATTGTAACTAACCTTCTATCCTTTATATACTAACTACTTGTAACTCATCATTTCGTTTGAGTGCCTTTTGAACTCTATCTTCTTTGATATAAGATCCTTATTTAATAAGAACTTTTCAATAGGTATATTTGTTACCTCATATTAACTACAGAAGTGTATCACATATTTTTCAATTCAAAACGGAATTTCAGTAGATAAAGATCTATCTTATAAGATATAAGAAACAGGACATATATAGTTCGCATAAATAGTAAAAAAAATCATTTTGGCAGTATATTCCTGGCATAATACTTGAACTCCGCAATTCCGCTCGGATGCGCCTGTTACGTGTCCGTATTTTACGTATATCATCCCCCATTTTTGCGGAACTGGAATATTTGAATATCTATGATTTACAGTAGCTGAATATTGTACAAACACGGCGAAATAAATTGTGAAATACGTTGCAACAGTATTGAATACTGTACTCTACATGCATACTATGATTTACTATTAAGTTTCTTCCGCATAAATTTTAAGAGGAAATATTTGCTTGTTAAATAGGGTCAGAATGTAATGGATCGATTTGAAAACTTGTTTTGCCATTAGAATCCTACAGTATCAGTTAACAAAAAATATAATAAAAAAAAATTGAATTAATAATATATAAATTTTCTAAATAATGTACATTAAGAAGAAAGTTTTTGGAATATCCAACTCAAAAATATATTAAATAAATAAAATGCACATATACATATCATCCTGTATGTGTTTAGTTATTTATAAATTTTGAAACATTGCGTATATTTTTGTTTTTCACCGGAACTGACTAGAATTCACTTCAAAAATTGTATGTTTCTAAATATTTTATACTAATCATATACTATAGATAATATTCCACTACTATCTATCTTCACATCTAATTCTGTTAAGATCCATTTAACTATTTAGACAGACTGACAGACACACTTTAAAACATTTATAATGTTAGAAGTATGGATTATTACTGCCATTATGTCCCGAAAGTAACGTTCACTCAAAAGCTTTTACGGCACAAGTAAACAAGTAAAAATCCTTTCAGACACATTTCTAATGCGCTGAGTTTGGCGATCCTCCAAACTGCCTCAAAAGAATGCTCTAAAATGCAATTAAACTAAACATAGCGTTAGCTTTATTGTGGTTATGTATTAAAAAATACCTATGTATATACTAACATGCAGTTTAGCACACTGTTTTACTTTGATACACCGAAGGTTGCGGGTTCGATTCCGCGTACGGTGCGAACATTTTGTTCTCATGAATACGATTGTTTATATCCGTCTGGGTGATTTTTATATATATATATTATATAAGTATTTACAAAAAATATATTTATAAATACACTATGTCAGTTCTCTAGTACCTATAGCATAAGTCTGCTTAGTGAGATATTATATGTTATTTCTAAACCACGCAGAGGTTGGTTCTTTGGACGGATAAAAGACTCTTCTTCATCTCTCATGGAAATATTCCATTACTATACATCTCTAGACCTACTTATAAATTAAAAGCAAAATAAGTACATTAATTACTTGTTCCTTAGTACGCGTAATAATTATATTTATGGAACTAAATGGTGCTTGGCACACAAACAAGCAACAAACAATCATTTACCAACAGATGATCCATATGATCATCTGTTGGTAAATGATTACCGTAGCCTCTATAGGCACGTATAATATTTAAGTATTTCCTAAATTTCATAGTTTTTATTTTCTCTTAATAGTTTCTTATGACATTTGTCAGACAGTCTTAACCTTTACTGGCATATTATAAAAATCATATAATATTGTTTTTTTTATTGTTATATAGAAGCATAGTTTTCAATTGAAGACTGCTATTGAAGAAGATATAATATTTTATTTTACTGTTAGTTTACAAATTTCTTCTATTTCAGGCGGAGCTAGTCGCTGTGGAAGGGAAAGAGATAGAGACGCATTATGTCCTCGCCAAAGAGAGAATTCGCCGTTGGAACTCAACATCGAAGTGCTATCTCTTGGTTGAGAACTTGCCGACTCCATTGCAGGTAATTATACTATGTCAAAATTCTCATTACCTTGCCGTATCATAATTTCTACTAGCACGGGAGTTAGTTTTCTTACTTTGTTACTTTTAAAAGATAGTGTAAACGATTATTTGTTAAATAAAACACAATTTACTTATATAAATCTTTAAATAACTATGTTTCAATATCATATAAGCACATATACTCTTAGCAACAGAGATATAAGTAAGTAATGGTATCTATAAATCCTAATTTCTCTAATGATCAAGTCTAAATAATTTTACTAATATTTTAATTATGAAAATTTCTTAGTATGGCTGGTTGGATATTTGTTATTTTTCACGTAAAAACTAGCGACCTGATTCAGACACTTTATAGTAAAATTGCTTATGTATATAATAAATACGGAATTATAAATAAGCTGTATAATTTCATGCGGATGAAACCGCGGGCACAGCTAATATGAAATAAATGAAATTGTTAACTTATTACTAACTCTAAAATATAAATAGTGAGTTAAGCCAAGTTTAAAAATGTACATATGACAATAGTTTAGTATTATGTAAAACAAACCATCTGTAGCCACTTTCAATCCTTAATAACTATTTAATATAAGAGCACGATATATATGGTAATTGATGTATTAAAAGCCATTAGATAAACTAGAACTCCAGATTTCGTAAATGCAGCAGTTACTGAACGGTAGGTTAGCATTTCTTACTGATTTATTGTCTCATAAAAAACCTAACCCACTTCTAGATGACTTCGGATTTTAACTATTTTAATTACTTTGATACTTGATACGAATTCGTGATTAAAATTTTTAATCACGAATTCGTATCAAGTATATAACAACTCGCTTCAATAATGATCTAGGAATTTAATATTTACTATTATTTTTACAACAGGCCGGCGGAATAGCAAGTGCAAGTGTATGGTCATCTTGCGGGTGCCGACAGCGCCTTCTAGCGGCTGTTACAAGTGGAGGACGAGCTGTACATTGGGCGGCTGTACCTGCTCCTATCCCTGCCAACAATACTGACTTATGCCGATTCAATTATACGTAAGTATAATAATAATTCGAAAAAGTAAACTTTGTACAAAGTCGACTGTGTGGGTACCATTTTTCTCACTTACTGTAGCAGTCAAGCAGCTTTATTTGTAAGCCGTGATTAGGGGTGAGATATAGCAATAAAATAACAGAGTATATTAGTTCACCGGTATGATAAAGAATGTACCATAAGCGCCACATATAAACTTAATGTTTCGCTTATGTAGATGTTCCACTTCCCATCACACCAGTCTTGAATCAGTCCGGATTGTTTTGCATTTTAGATTTTTATGAAAAAGAAGTGTATTAGTATATAAAAAGTAATTTACGACAAATGAATGAGTGAATACTAGTAATAACTTTTTATTCCGCGCACAGATAATAAACAAAACAAATAAAATGTGTATTATAACAACAGTGCATTGGCGAAATTAACAGAGAATATTTGAAAGTTCTAGTAATATGAAATGAATAAAACTGGAACTCATTACTGGAATCATTCCGCTAAATAAACTACAGTGTTTTACGTCTGATAAATCCAACATAAAAAAATATAGATTAATATGTTATATTGAAATTCATGCAAAATAGATGTTGACAATTGACTAACTCCTAAGTATTATTAGCAATGTAGATTATATATATAACCCCATTGCTAGCAACATACTATGTCAGGTTGACCTCCACGCGGTTCCCTTGGAAACCATTATGTTAAATTACTGGTTAATTTGCCACTATGGGCTAACTGACCAGACCTCATACTCATTTTATCATCCTCCACTGGTGTTTGCCATTGGTGCAGGTGCGTCCTCCATTAAGTTATCATTCAATATAAAAAACCCCCATCTGTAAGTATACTTTTATATATATTACGGTTATATTATTTACACTTTTTGTTTTGTTCAATCATCGCTTAGGGATTTTAATTACCTACATACTGGATTCAGGCTAATTATCGACTGTCGGCAAAGTTCATGATTGTATACGAGAAAGTTTGGTATTTAGGGAACTTTGGCAGGGGCTATCCTTTTTTTATGTCGGACAAAAGTTTCGTGACTCTCTTCTGCCCCTATATAAGTTATCCATTGATCGTTTTCATCAGTTTTTGTACGCGACAAATATAGTCTGTTTTGGACTAATGGTTTTTATACCAAAGTTTGCAATATTTGTTAATCAAAACCCATTGAAAATGTATAATATATATGTCTGTATACAAATCTATCTGAAAATATATGAATTATTAATTGAATGAACTTAATTCGATTTGATATGTTGTATAAGCTACAATTACTCATTTTATTATCGTTTGTGTACTTATATTTAATATTTAACTAAAAGATGTTAATATATATATATAATATTATATATATATAATATTTTTTATTTTTTTTTGTAATGGGAAAGGCAAACAAGCTTAATGTTAAATAAAGTGGTAACTGTCGCCTATATACATGAACAGCACTGCGGACATCACGTTGTCATGTGACGCCCGAGATACCGCTCATGGCTTGTCTTGTAGACGTCTAATTTTACTGTCTTATTACATCCTTCTACTGAAACACATCCACAAGCTGCTTGGCGGCTGAAGTTAGTGAGACAGAGGTACTTACGCAGACGACTTGACGCACTTACCTCTACCTTAGATAAGGACTTGTTAAGCTGTATGGATATTTACAAAACATCTTAAATCTTAAGTACTTTATTTTCACCGAGTACCATCCTTTAACTATCCACAATTCGTCACTGTTACCCAGATAATCGAGATTGCGCTTCTTCTGTTTTTTTTTTAATTTCCTCTAAAAGCTGTTTTAATGTCCGCTTAAGATTTGCCGCCAAGCCGAACGTTTACCAACAGCGTCACTGTGTTGGAACTTTTATTCGTAATTCTTTACACACAGCCTCTGTGTTTGAAACAAAGTTCTGTGTTTTGAAATTGGAAAAAGAACCATAAAAATGTCTGCCGACACTGTAAAGTTTATTCCTTGTGATTTATATGCATTTTGCGAAACGTCCGAAGTGGGTTCTTAAATTTTGACCCATTTCGTTGAAGTTGTCGGGAGCTGTTGTTGAATAAAGTTTTTATCGTCACTCCGCTTTACTTTGTGGAATTAATACTTGACTCAGCTGCTGGCGTTTATTTATCTTTTCTTTGTTTATAACTGCCGTATTGAGTAAAAAATCATTATTGCAATATGTTTATTTTATTATTTGTAGCACATTAAATACCGCATTATGTTTACAGCCTAACTTCGTGTAACGAAGATTATAGTAATGCTTATGCATATCAATATTTTTATATATTATTTTATCATTGATAGTGATTTTTATTTTCTCGGATACTTTACAAAGTCAATGTCAATCTCAGCTATTTCTATATGTGTTATATATATATTGCAGTTATCAAAAACAAAGTACTCTATGATGATTGTGGTATATCTAATACGTACTGAAATACAAGTATATGCCTTTTCTAATAAAACGTATTACCACATTCTATTCAAAAATATGGTAATACAATTTAATAAACTATACCATTTCTGTTATTTCGATTAGTGGTTTAACAGTTCTTCACTTATAGAAACTACATTATTTTTAAATGGGAATAATCCATTTCAGTTCTATGCACTATAATAAAAATATGAAACATACGAATAAATGAATACAAAATATCGTTCAATGTATCTATGTCGGCGAGGGAACAAGATTATGGTGGTTTTGATGAATGATCCTCGCGGGTCATACAGGGTTTTCACCAATTCTGTTCGTTCGTATTTTTTGTTTACCTATACCTATAGGGACCATGTTCAGTAAATTATATCAACCCTAAAAATCTGTAACACTTCATAACCATTTATATACGTAGAATTTGAAATGATGAAATTTCGGCCACAATTGAGTTAACCCTAATTCAATATTTAGATTTGTTCTTACTTACTAATCGCATTTACTATATTTGTATTAGATGAAATCTGAAGTGTGTCTGGTTGTCTATTTAATTATCATATTTTCACGAATCTTAATGAAAAATGAACCGGGGGTAAAGTATGGGACGAAAATTTATGCAAACGAAGTCCCGTGTAACAGATAGTATTCATATATATTCCAATTGTAAATATGCATGTATCTAACTGCCCAATTTTTGCTACTTTTAAAGGAATTGATTTAAAGGAATATTCGTGTTATTTGGATTTTAATTAAATTACTTATACTATTGCTTACACACATAGTTAGACATTAGCTATGTATGTATAAGCTATTTCAATAAAATCCGTTCAACCGTTTAGTCGCGAAAATGTATCAAACAGTTATACAGATAGACTTTATTTTCGTATTTAAAATATTAGTAAGCAGTATATTCTAATTGCAAATAGGTATACATACGAGTACATATGTCTAACTATTTATGAGCCCCCCGCTTAAGGGGATTGTTAGTAATATGGTCATCTCTGATGTGAATCGCTGATGATCTTACTGCTAGCAATGTACCATGTCAGGTTGACCTCCACGCGGTTCTCTCTGGAAACTGTCGCTAAAATTCTTGGTGAATTTGTCATGATGGGCTAACTGACCTGACCATATACAACACCATCATACTCATCTTATCATCCTCCATTGGTGCCCCGCCAGCGTAAACCGTTAGCGCAGGCGGGTGCACCATTCCATTATCATCCATAAATAAAAACTATTTATAAGCACTGTTTTAAATTTGACACGTTCATTATTTGTACTTACCTATAAATCCCGCGATTTACTAATTATACGTATATATTAGCAATCAATATCGACTCCTCATTGTAGGTACACAAACTGTGACATCACAACAATCAGTGTCAAGTTATTTGCTCCCAAGTGCATATACTTGCTGTGGGGAGATACGTCATTTGAATACACAGCATGACGTCCGTGTACCATTTAATGAGTTCCAGTCTCATGTAGTGTGACCATAAATTCACAACTTAGACGGACAAAAATCTATTTTCACGCGTATTAGTTAAAATGTAAAATACAACTTTTATTTCTACACATTAAGTTAAATAGAAAAGGTTAAAAGAAAAAAATTCTCATATCCATATAAGGATAACGGACGACCAAACATCAAAATGCAATTTTCCTTTATGAGAAGAACTATCATCCAAAATTAATATCGGAACTGTCCTAATATGGTATTTGACACTCATGACAGAAGTTCACAATTGTCTTAAATGTAACAACATTATATTGGTTTTGATATGTTCATGCAATGTAGAAGAAATAGAAATAAATCCATCAAAAATAAATATCGGAAATATCCTAAAAAGGTATTTGTAAGAGTTGGTCACCGTTTGTCTGTACAGCACTCGTGACAAAGGCCGGAAAGTTCACAATTGGATTAAATGTAACAACATGATATTCGAGTATCGAACAAGCCTTTGATATTTTCATGCGCCATTCACCACTGGATAGGAATTTGACAGATTTTCGATATCGTATTTTTATTACACACTCCGCATGACACGGAACTATTGTGTGCAATATTCTTTTTTATATTTGCAGTACAGTGCATACTAAAATATTGGTGAAAAAGTACGGTGTTCAAAAATGGTATGGATTCGTAGAAAAAGTAATAAATGGCTTATAGTGTTGTATGTTGTATTTATTTGTTTAACTTTATTTCTTTGCTAAAAATAACGCCTGTTTAATATATAAACAGCAATATGAACTTAGAATAATATTAACCATATATTACACTAGCTCTTATTAGCGTATTTATCTACTTTATTTTGAGATAAAAAATAGCCTATATCCGACCTCTTAATACATAATATATCTTTGCGTGAAATTTCATTTGGGATCCCAACGGCGTTAAGCCACTTAAGAAAAGGTAACACAAAGACAGAAACTTTTGCATTTATAATACTAGCTCTTACTCTATACTTTGTCTGCTTTCTGTTGAGATAAAATAGCCTATGTCCATTTTGTCCTACAATCTATTTTCACGTCTTTTCTTAAGATAAACGGATCTTTATGCTGTTATTTAACAGACAAACTGATATTTTCGCATTTATAATATTGATGCATTACAAATCTTTGAATTATTGAGCTATTTCTATACTACAACACGCATGTATTAGACAGATAAAACTTCTTTTTGAATCACTCTATTTATTGCTTAAGTTCTCTTGAAAAATGTATATATATACTGGTAGATATAATTTGCAAACATAATAATAAAGATATACAAAAAAATAAACCAGAACAAGAATTGACAATGTCATATATATTTTTCTATATTTTTTAGACAAAATACATAAATATATAAAGGTGCGTCGGCACATTCTCATTAAAATCTGTCACGATATATAAGATATAAAAGAACAAACGCCGATATTTTTTTACACTATATAAATGATATGTAAAATTATATATTGCGTAGTATATTATATAAAAACGAGAACGTAACCACAGTGTCTTACTAATGCAATAAATGACTCCCAACGTAACTGTTTGGACGAGAAAAATTCCTGGCAACCCACACGACTCCTCGGTGAGCCATAGCGAACAATATATGGCTTGTGAACTTTTAACTTGACCATATCACCAAAATATTTAAACTTAATCTCTAGTTACAATAAATTTATACGGAATGCAAATTTATTGCATGTATTATTTATATTATTAACCGGGTTTTAACACGAATAATTTTATGGATAATAGGTAGTGTGTATAGTTTTTTTTTTATGGATGATAATGGAATGGTGCACCCGCCTGCGCTAACGGTATACGCTAGCGGGGCATCAGTTAAGGATGATAAGATGAGTATGAGGTCGTCATGAGCTGACTGGAGCCATAGCGACTAGGTGGCCGTCGAGACCTATATTTGCCATAAAATTATTCGTGTTAGGACCCGGTTAATAATATAAATAATGTACATCAAACATGAAAGTTTAAAAATATGGTTCTACCATGTACATAATTGTTTTATAACAAACCCAGTAGGGTTTTCTAATTGGTTTAAACTAATATCCATCGGATGTTTCTCGTTAATTCCTTTCTATAGTTGAAAGATTTTATAAACATTTAATACATTTTTGACAAAAGAAAATATAATCAGTTTTCATTATAAAATTAGTTTAAATAGATTAATTGTTACATGTACAGTAGAATGCAGGATGAAATATTAACAAAGTGGAATGATGCGGATCTGGGGGAGGTAGATGTAACTAATTACTCTATCGTGTTCACATCGTATATGACATGTTGTTCTCCTTAACTGACAAGTATCTATATCATTACCTCTTTCATTTAAGTAAGTCTCTTTATAAGTCGAAGATGACTTATAGGATGAATGAAATAAAATTGAGTTAGAATTGTATATAAATACTAGCTGTTTTCAAGGTTTCACCCGCATGATATGGCTATAGCTTATGTATTGTTTTGATGTTTATAACTATACTAAGTTTCATCAAAATTCATTTAGTAGTTTTTTCATAAAAGAGTAACAAACATTCAGCTATACTCACAAACTTTCGCGTTTATACTATGAATAAGATAAACAATAATAAAAGCCAAGGGCGCTTGGTGTTCTCTGACCGATTAATAATTTTAAATTGTCATTTTCATTTACCAATTCTATAGAAATAAGTAACAATAAATGTATGCCTTACATTATATATATTACTTGCAGATTCCCAGTGACAGCAGACATGGCGCCAGTCAGTTCTCTTCTCGTTTACTATGTGACGGAGGCAGGCGAACCGGTGAGCGACGTCGCTAGCTTCCACGTCCGATTACTGCATAAAGAAGTAAGTTTTAGTACTTTTGTTAGATAGCATAATTTCAAGTAGTAATGTATTAAGTGGATATAATAATAATAATCTCAGGACAATTCACACAGCGCCATCTAGTCCCTAGTTAAGCTAGCTGAAGCTTGTGTTATGGATACTAGATAACTGATACATATACATAGATTTTTTTTCGTAAATACATACATATTATACATAGAAAACACCCAGACCGATACAAACAATCATACTCATGAATACAAATGTTTGTGCCGTGCGAGGAATCGAACCCGCGGCCATCGGATGTGAAGCGGTGTGCTAGACCGCTATACCACCGAGGTTGTCTATATAAAGTATTAAGTACATAGGTGGAAATAAAAACTATACTACTACGTTAAGTTAAAAAAATAGTACTGTACTGTTCCTTAGTAATAATATGTAAGAATAATAAATATGTTATAAAGGTCAATAAAAGGAAATAAATTATATTTAGTCATTAATTGTCCTACTATTATCTCAATATTTTTTTCAAAAAGACCAATTTTAAACAATTCAAAAGCAGTAACAACTGTTTTTAAGTGGGTGAATTCCGTACTTTTCTGTTGTAACGATAAAAAAATTATATATTACATCAAATTTGTTATTAATTTGTATAATAACGTTTCTTGTTTAATTCAGTGAAATACAAAATGTTACTGTCAATATTAACGTAATCTTGTTTGCAATTCTAATGAAATAAAAAAAAACAATATACGGATAACTAATTTGATATTGACAGATTTATTATCCAGATATTAGTCTATAGTCAAATAGTCTTTTAAAGATATTATATTATATGGTAAAAGAGATGATAAGAAGATCATATAATAAGATCTTTAAAATAATATGTTTTATTGCAGATTAATATCTTATATTAATATGTAGTATGTATTATTATTGCCGTTATAATATACAATAATTTAATAAATTATAGAGTTACTTTTAGATGTATGAGACTCCTAATAACGTAAAAATTCAATTAATTATGATTAAATTAAATTTAGACAATAGGAACGAGTACTATACAATACACTAGTAAAATAAAATTAACTACCGCTTAGCTATATATATATATATATATATATATAATTTAAATATGGTTAAAAATTCTGCAGAATATTTACAAACCTCAGTCATATTTTATATTATTTGATTTCATATTCTCGATGGAGAACATACGTCATATATAACTGTACAGCTTCATACTTGTAATTATATGTTGATCAAATAAACGCAGCATGTGGATATAATATTCATTTAACATCTTAAAATGAAATTGCTATGGCACGAAGTTAATTGTCGTACTCATGTTTGATGTGAGTACCAATAGTATTAATATTCTCGAGTAATAATAGTAGTAATTACAGAGTCAAATTGTTAGAGTTGATATTATTAAGTAATCATTATTAATACCCAGTATTCTTGTATATGTATCGGACAATAAAACTTATTTGACATAGAAACGTGCAGGGTAGTAAAAATTCATGTACCGGACTTTCATTTAATGTTACATACAGACACCTAAACAAGTAAAAAATGTTAAGAAACTATATTATAAAAAAATATTGGTTTTTGTGCCAGTTCTTCTCAATTAAATCTATTGACTGAACTGGACGATAGGGAAAAAATAGCAACACAAAAATCTTGATTTGGGCAAGTAACTACTAATATTGTACATGAATTTTGTGATAATGTTTAAATTATGAATGTGTAAGAATCCAACAGCTTAACGAAATTTACGAATTTTTAGTACTACGTGAAAATATAATTAATTACAAAATTATATTGTAATATTATAACGATGTAATATTATGACGGCCTTGGTGATCTAGTTTAGCACACCGCATTACGTCTGATGGTCGCAGATCCGATTCCTCGCACGGTGCAAACATTTGTAGGTATTCATGAGTATGACTGTTTTTATCGCTCTAGGTGTTTTCTATGTACATTGTTTATAGAATAGTAATTGAAAATCATTTATTATAAAAAAAGCACTTTTGAATAGTCATTACATTTTTTTTAATCTACCGCTATTATGTAATTACAATATAAAAATCAAACTATTTTTTATGTACCCATAATACAAGTTCTGTTTACCATGGGATTGGATGACGTTGTGTGAATATTATTATTAATATTTTTTACTAACTATAATTATTATTTTTTACAAATAAAAATAGAATTTATTAAGAACCTCTCTACTAATAATGAGATACTCATATAATGCCATAACATGCCGCTTTGTTATTTATTATTATAATGTACAATTTTATAGTAAACCATATAACTCGATAGATTACAATGTCCCATGAAAGTTGCATCTAAACCCCTTATTTTACAGTCTGATGAATCAGCTGGCGTGAAATTGAAATAGCGTTTACAAAGCTTAATTACTATGCCGCCGAGTTATAACTTACACGTTAAAGTTAAATATTGTATAGAATTTGCTTAGTCCTCTTCTTATGAGAGGTATGCTAATAATATAGCTAACATGTTACACTGCATGTACTAAATACACATGTTACACGTGTTGGTCTCGTACGTATATTACGTAATGAACTTATGATGAATTTAGAATTATAAATACGCTTGTAACTAATTTTTCTATGCCAATTTAACGTAAAATAAATTTAAAATACTCACGTATTTTTATATGTAAAACTCGTATGTTCATAAATGATTTAAAGAAATGCTTCTTAAAAATTTATTAAGTGAAGTAATAAATTTAATTTAAAAACAATACAGGTTAAATTTATTGTTATAATTGATTAATGATTAATTTATGAACCATTTATTTCAATCTAGTATGATATTCAATCTATATGAGATTTACATAAATGCTTCTTAGATATATCCAAGAATAGTATTGACTTTTTCATCGTAACAACCGTTAAAAGGATAAACACGTATCAGGTATCTAATAAAAGAAATTAAAATAGTTTTTTTCCGTATAATAAATTATTTTGAGGTATTTTTGTAATGCCAATGTGAACCTGTAAGTATTTACTAAGAGTTAAAGTTATTTTATTTAATATATTTATTAGTATTTTCATTGATATTTATAGCCATTTAAAGATATTCTTCGATTAATCTGATTAAATATATTGAGTTATACATTTATCTATTGCGAGTAGCTTTATAAATAGCAAACTTCAGAGTTTAACTGAATATGCTTTATCAGATTTTACAGCGGTCATGTCTTTATTTGTTCATAGTGTTTTCGAATTTAAACAAATTTAAATGGTTTTTCGTACATGAATGATATCTCGCGACATAATCTCATTGGCAATAACGTTGGGTTTAATTAACGTGCCCTTTAATGAAAGGAAATTCGTTGACGGTTAAAGGGTGCTTTTAAGACCGCCTATAATTCCGGCAATTCCATCCGAAATCGTTTGAATAGGCTTGTTTTATACCAATTCAGATGTAGGCTTTAGAGACAGAAGCTAATTTTGTGAATTTAATTTGCATGTGGAGATGAGACATAATTAGGCAATTTTACTTTAAAACTCTTTCAAAACTTCGCTGTTGAACTTTATTTTGTATGCAAATATTATATTGTTTTTAATAAGAATAACACACATACACTTACTGTCTGGTCTGGTATCCCAGATGGAGTAGTCAGATGCATTGTCAACTGTCGATGTTGTGGTGACTCCAATAGTTGATAATACCCATATTTCGCTCGGTATATTTTGAATCCTTAACCCCTTAATCCTCCAACCTTACCCCCGTCTCTTAGTTTGAGATTGGTGTTTTGTATTAGCCAGATTAGAACTTACAACCTCATAACAATAATAACAACATATTCAGAATATAGACAATTGATATCTTACTTATTAAATTTTATATTTATTAATTTATTAAATTTATTAAAGTATATGACCCATTCCTTTTTAACTTTGGTCAAAAGTCATAAATGTAGTAGACTAAAATTGATAATAGCTCACACCATATCATAACAATACGGTAATATTGAGTAGATTCATACACAAATAAAAAAAATCAAAATAAAACACACATTACAAAGCAATCGAATTCGCAGTAGTAATTAGTGAACACTGTTCGAACACTCGCTGAAACAACATTTAGGTTCTAAAGTGTGAGGATGAATTTTCTTTAGATGTTTGTGACACGATAACAAAAACTAGTATTTGTAGGCATCTTGTCAAAACAGAATCTATCTTAATAAGTGGACAATAAATTAATAAAAGACTTGTAATTCTAACCAGGTAGCAGTTGCCATAGAAGAGCGACGGTGGTGGTACCCGCGTGCGACCCTGCAGATGAGGGTCCTTGCCCCTCAGGACTCCACCATGTGTCTAATTGGAGCTCGTGCACCACCTGATACAAGATTCGATCCTCATCAATCGTAAGTAGATTTTACCTTTAACTCCCGGAACGAGCTCGGTCGTCTGGCGGCACATAACACATTGCTACAGTTAATGGTAGCGAGTTCGACCTCCGCCTAATTTAAAAGTTTGTATTAATGTGTATAGTTTTTCTGAATGTATTTATTTACAAAAATATATGTTTAAGTTGGTATATATACGTGTAAGTGTAATAGGTCATCAACAAAGTACCATTAGTACAAGCACTTAATCATTTTGTCGCTGTGTTAGTTGTCAGGTTTATTTGTTTGTTCCTGAACAGTTTATCTACAAGAATTATTTTTTATTATATAGAAAAAAATATTGTTTATTATATAGATCCAACATGACAAAGTATTATATAAATTACTATATATTTAAAGAATTATGTAAATCCATATCACGAAACTTACAAATAAAATGTGCTCCATTTTTGGGGCAGTCAGAAATCTAACCATTTAATATACGCAGAAAACAAATATTTGTGGTTTGTAATATCTAAGTATTGAATGTTGTATGTAATGTAATATCTAATTATTACAATAAGATCTTGTTTACCTCAAGTACAACGAATCTTTCCGTTCGTTTCCAAAATATTAGTAAAATAAATACTGTCACGCCAACTAAGTCACTGGTGTTTGCTAGCCATAAATAAATATTCTAATTTAAAGCAAAAGAATTTTACATCGAGGAACGTGGATAATTGTAAATATTTGTACTTCCGATCAACTGATGGTCTTTTCGTTCATATTTTCTTGCTTTTTTTGCAACGCTACACGCTGATATCGTTTGCTGTTACTTTTTAATTTCGATTTTTATTTTATTTCGAGATAAATATTTCGCAGCCGCGGTGGTTTAGTGAAATAGCACACCGCCTTACTTCCCCTGGTTGAGGGTCCGATTCATCACACGATGTATTCATGTGTATAATTGTTTATATTTTTCTGAGTGTACATCATGTATGTATTCCAAAAAAAAATGTATCCATAACTCAAGCTCTGGTTAGCTCAGTTTCATAGTCTAGTGTGAATTGTACTGGTTTTTTATTAAACTTAAACTGGTAGTGAGACAATACTACGAAAGTCACCTGCTGAGTACCTCACTATTACCTATTTCAGACGCCAATCAGCTTACTTTATAAGCTGTGTATCGATTATAGGGTAAATTTAGATAGTGATATTACAGAATAAGAGGTGTGACATCTTATAGTGATGAGTATCACGTTGTCACATGATAACATGATGCCCGATGATCAGTACTGTTCATGTATATAGGCGACAGTTACTTATCATAAGGTGGGTCGGTAGCTTCTTTGGGAAAACGTAAAAATATATTAGTTAAGAAATCAGTGCAGAACTGGCAGAGAAATAGCTTTTTTAATTTCCTATGTTTACAGTTTCGTTCTAAGAAAATAACGCTTTAGAAAATAATATTAATACCTTATACTAAAGAATTTCTTAAAGTGCTTTCTCGGTAGATTTATTCAGTGGACATAAATATAACTTGTTAGACAAACTTAGCCTTATGGTAAGATTTAATTCCCAATAATAATTTACTTGTCTGTTTATTATAATATCTACTATGTAGGTTTAGAATAAGTAAAGACATCTTGTATTTATTCTAATATTACGAATGTGTGCCTGTCTGTTTGTTAGCTTTTCATGACTAAAGCTGAATTTAATTTCAAAATAAAGCAGATTAAATTGCGGGGTCCAGCTAGTTTCACATAAAAAATACAGTTTAATTGGATATATATTTTGTCTGCTCTGTGTAGTCTGTTAATAGAAAAATATCTGTGATGTTATCTATAGGCGTAGTAATAAATTGTGTATATGAGACGTACATACAATTACATATAGCACTCAAATTGCATGACAATACCAACTGTTACTCGAAGCGAAATATCATTACAGTCAACCGAACTCGATTAATATTTATTGTAAACATAGGGGCAGTATTCATGTTATATTTTAATTACACGTATAATTAGAATATTATTGTTTTAATACTTTTTTATGTGAGTCAAATGATAAAAACTTTGTAGCCCATCTGATGATGGTATCCTTCATGCGTTACCATTCTTCATGGTCATACTTTTATTCTTCGTAGTTACAACATCGTAAATTGTTTATACCAATTAATACTCATGTATGATTAGATGATATCTTTTTCAGTCCTTACAATTGATAGATTTACTCATATTTTTACATAAAAAAGCTCGCTTTGCCTCATTGCATTGGCTTTATAAAATTATTTGTCGTCCGTGCAGTCTGTTATAGTAGTACTCATTTATGCAACGCACTTACAATTCCCCTGCTGTTACGAGTGCTCATGGGGGCCGGTAATCACTTACCATCAGATGAGCCGCAAAAACGTTTGTCCCCTATGCTATAAAAAAATAAAAGAACCGCGCTCTTGTCGGTAAAACTCTTGCCACTTCCCACAAAATGTTGATGAATTTAATTTAAGATTAGATTAATTTTGTATGCATGTAACACTTTATAATTTATACGTATACTAGAATATTAGAAGGAAGTTAAATAAAAAATGTATAGCAAAGTAATATATTTTTTAGCGGTTATTGTATTGTACACTGTTGTTGTATGGAAGTTGAAATTAAATAGTTTCCACAATACTCGTATTTGTCACAAAAAATCACAATAACTTTATCATTCCGAGTAAGTTCGCTCAAGTGGCAACACACGTACGGACATGTATTTTCATGTGAGACAGCAAAGCTGTATATATAGCATTATAAATATACAACCATGTCACACAATGAAGACACGATTCATCTTTCTGTTGATCTGGTGGGAGGTAATTCAGCGGAAATATTTGCTGAGTTCCCGCCTGTCTGAATGCGACTCCTTTGAGTTTCCTGAATCAGTGATATGTTTTACAAGCGAATGATTCGATTGAAGCTTTACAGATAGATGTTGTAACTCTGATTCCTGTTTGAAATCATTGATCTATTTTGAATATGAATAATATTAGCTCATTCATAAAGAAAATACTCTATGGATTTTACATTATTTTGTTCAATTCCGCGACCAAACTGAGCCTCACTGAACAGTCATCACTAGGCTTCCAAGCTATGTCCGAGCTGTCTAATAATGACTCAATAGAGGCAAAACACGTGTCGCAATATGGGCGTAGAGTCAATAACAGTCAGAATTTGATCACCAATAGGAGGTCGTAACGCTTCCAGTAACAGATCAGATGATCAGATTTCCATGATGATTGAACATTTGTTTCTCATACATGGTAATAGTAGCGGAATTTAACAAAATAACTTGATTCTGTAAAATAATACTGAATTAGACAAAACATTTAAAGAAAAATACTTACAATATTATGCTCATTATCTAATGTATAGAAAGTTAAGCAATACGCTGAAGACAATCGGCTTGATATGTACTAACTGCTTCCTGCAACTTCGTCTGCTTTATTTGAGTTATTAACGAATTTTGACGTGGAGATAGATAGTAGATATCTATCTCCACGTCAAAATTCGTTAATGTCTTTTCAGCCTTTATTAATTTAAAAGTTAGAAACATATACCGATAGACAAAAAGACAAAGAACTGATACACTTTCGCATTTATAATATTAGTATGAAGACATACTTGCTTCTTCTGCTGTATTTAGGTATATGTACATGTGTTGCCATGAGTACTGAGATATCATGAGTATTATCCTTTTCAATTTATTTGCATGTAGAACTACGGAACACGAAGAGCAGCCAGGACCAGAGTTCGTGTCTGCTGGTGTGTCTCTCTTCGTCGGTGGTGGTGCCTGCGGTGGTGGGGTACTGTACAGGCAGAGAACAGCTCCAGCACCACATTCGCCAGCTCACTTAGTACCACCAGCGTCCCACGACAGGCTTTGGATGTGGAAATGCTTCAATTATACGTGAGTCTACATTCTTTAGTTTCTATGTGTAAAATTTATTTACAAACAAAATGTCAGTTACTTAACAACATAGCCGCGACTCGCTCACACTCTTGCTGTTTTTACAAGGATAGTATATAGAATTAATAATTAACTCTCTCACACACTATATTTACAGGGATGATATAATATATAACACCCTCCGATCGAACCCCCGTCCAATTTCCCCGGGATCGAAATTACGACGGCCGGAGTCGAGGTTCGAACTCCTAGCGGTGCCCTTAGACTAAATTCGTATTCGTTAGGCGGGAGTAGGTCGCTCCATAAGTCCTTCCGCGAGCTTGGAATCCCAACTGCATTCGTCCCCTATCTTCCGATGAAGCTGTAAAGGCCGGCTGCGACAAAATAGCATTTGCATTATAAAATGTTTAAGCATCTGATCATCATATAATGGTATATGAGACTATTACAACTTATTCGGACTTTTTTTCTTTATTTATTCAAAAGCTTAAAATCACAATAATGTACGTGTTAGATTTGTCGTAGCTTCTACATTTTTTTACATTTATATTACATCTAAAGTATTCCAAGGACAAATATTAGCTATCTTGCTTTTGATTATAAGATTTTAAGAGTTTAGATATTAAGACAATATTTTTTATTAGAGGTTCCGGCAACATACATGTACTTTGAAAAATGGCTAAATGAAGTTACATAGTTTCAATTTACTTATTTTTGCAATATTATCTGTTTCATTCTTGACGCATTCCATCAACATATGTGGAACATCATCAACATAACTACAAGTATGACAATTAGGGAAATGTACTATTTTCATTAATATCCAAATTTGTTAACTCATTCAGACTTGGTGCTTTAATAGTAGGATCATACATTGCTGATAATAATAATAATATAACTCTGTACTGTTCACACAAAATATAAAAAAAAAACTTAATATAAATGCGCTAAACAAAAGATGGCTTTATCCTTTAAAGCAATCTCCTACAGACAACCTGCTGATTCTTGTTAAATAAAAAATATATGTCTTCAATTGTTTTGAATGTATACCAATATATCGTAATACCCATTTCAGTAGCGCCTTTAACTACTTTATTCAAACATTTCTACTATAAAATCCGCTCACGTAGCCATATAAATCATTCTTACAACATATTAGATCTATGGTAACATCTGTCACTTAGTACTAGTCAGCATTCTGATCATTTCAATCTATTTTCGAACCTTATAGCTATATAATTATATATAGCTATAAGGTTCGAAAATAGATATAAATACGTACCTGATTTTATTGTCTATATTTTACTATACTTCAAAGTAATTGCAATGGGACTAAAATAAATTTTCTAATCCAAAAAAAAAAACCTATCACTAAACCCTGGAGTGCATTGCAGTGGCATCAACTAACGCATTTTTTTTAGAACTGGGAACTCCAAAAGACTTGTGAAGATACTGTAAGATACAGCAAACTGAACTACTACAGAATTAAGAAACTAATAGAAGCGAGTCTAAAACCTCGACTCACCTCTAAAGAGGTGTGCTATTTCTCGGTTCGTGCGAGCCCATTCGTACTGCAAAACTCATCTGGTCTAATGCCTAATGCCACAATTTAACCAAAACACAGCGTATGATTTAAGCTGCTTGGTAACTGAAATAAGTGACATAAACCCACGCATACTTGTAACTAAGGCTAACGTTTGATAATGTTACTTGGTCATTCACAAAAATAGACACCAAAGACAATTTCTTAATAAAACCACGCTGTAATAAGTCACAAAGTTCACTCCCATAAATCCCAAATCCGCTGATTCATCTGTCGGCTCACGTAAGTTATGCTTACTGAATGACAAATAGCCCTCACTAGGATAGTGGTTGCGGCCAGTTTGATATACAGTACTGAATTATGAGCTTGAACGCGAGTTATTGCTTTAACATTAGAGCATTGAGTTTTCTATCTGTCTATAAAATGTTAAGTATTTAGACTGTTATTTATGTCATGTTACAATACTTTTTTACAAATCTTTTAATAAAATTACAATCTTTTACACAATTTTCCTGTATTAGCGTCAGCTAAGACAATTTCTTTCGAATACCTGTATTTATTTGTTCGTTATAATTAAGACTTATTTAGTCTTTACTGTTGTATTTTAAGTATATATCGTATCATTACGTTCAAATGCCAACCGAAATATAATAATTATTCTATTTTTAGTATGACACTAAAAAAGATAATAAAGTAAGTACTAAGAAAAAGGAAGTAAATAAAATGTTATTATAATTTATTTACCTCATCTAAAAATCAATATGTAAATTATTTATTTTAATATTATATTTTAAGTATAACATTAAAAAAGATAAATATTATTTTATTTTTATGAGAACGAAGAAAAAAGGACGAAAGTAAATTTAACGTTGAATTTAATTAGCAACAAAGGCCGTCTAACTGTTTCAGATTTTATTTATAGCTTTAAAGCTTCCTTCAAATCAGGAAATATTATCACCCCTAAAATTGGTCCATCTAATTTTTCTAATTCGATACACTTGCGAAATTGCGTCTCGAAAAGTGCCATCATTTTTATGTACCATAAATCGTAACGGTTGCGCTCGTAAAATCTATCCGTATGTTTTATACTTCCACATCAACGGTCCAGATTTTGTTATTGGCCTTAAATATTCCGAAGATAGGCTTCCATTCAATCAATTGAATTGGTTAATTGAACAAATGATATAAATTGAAACATAGCATGGAATGTATTAGTTACTTTTTAAACATTTTGCAGGATTTTTTACAACTTAAATTAAAACAATTATATAAATATAATTTAATCATCAGTCGAAACATGAAACCTGGATGTTCGTTATAGATTCTAATGACACCTGGACGTATTATGAACGTCCAGGTGTCATTAGAATGACTTGCAGCAATTCTTGAATAACATGTTACAACAAATATACTCTACATATCAAGTTAAGAAAACAAGTCTTCTATTTGTAGAATTATTTCTTCAATCTTCCTTGCATTATTTACTAGATCTACGAGTATATCTCTAAGATATTATGGATATAAAATAAATATTTAGAACAACGTCAATAGCTCTAATAATTAAAACAAGCAGAATAAACTCTATTGTATTGCAATATATTTTGTAAGTTTATAACCACGAATGATAATAATAAAGGAAAATTTTCTCATTATACTTACGTGAATTATGTTATGATAATTTTAACATGGTTTTTTGCCATTTAAGTAAATAATCACTATGTAACGTTGTGAATATCTACTTGCTCAGTTAATAACGAGTATGCACTGTCCTACAAGCCTCAAACTAAATTGTGTGAGAACTATCTAAAAAAATATTTCTTCTTCTTTAATACTAATCTACTTTAATACTGTTATAATCATCATTATTACATAGTATAAAATAAAATCGCTGTCGCTGTCTGTCCGTCTCGGACAGATATATGTATGCTTATATCTTTATAACTACATACGTAACGGATTTTGACGTATCTATTTTTTTAATAGATAGAGTGATTCTTGAGGAAGGTTTTTATATATAATACATGAACACCCGTGCGAAGCCGGGGCGAGTAGCTAGTTAAAGTACATTTTAAAATTGTAGGAAGTGATGCCAAATTCCTTTTAATTTGTTTTTCTATAGGGAGTGTACAAGCTGGTATTTCCAGTTCAGAATATTCATTCATCTTCATTCCCTAGTCTTACGTGTCATAGTTGTGAGAATGTAATATTTCATTAAGTACAACAGAGATTAATGCAGTTCACGTTACACTCCTAAGGTGATGTGCATGCATGAAATATGCATACAAGTTATTTGTAAATGCATAAGCAACGTATAGCACTAACGCGTATAATTCAAGGGAGACGGCGTAATAAACTGTCACTATAATAACATCCTCTGCTAGCTGTAGCTGTAGCAAAATAATCACGAGTAGATCACGATATAGCGCAGTCTAGATTTAATATAATTTAATTCATTAATCTTATATATATTCTACACATTTTGACAATTCGAGAAAAATGTCGCAATAGAGCACCCAAATTTGTCCATTCATTTTTTTGATCATCTCTCTCTTTGAGAGGCAGACTTTCGGTCTGTGAGAGATGTTAGACTAGCTAAAAATTCTTTTTGGATAACGAATTGATGTTTTGTACGTCCTAACTAGAAAAATTAATATATAAGTAAAGGGCCTGTCAAAAACAAAATAACTCAAATATTTCACAATGATCTTCCCAATTAGAGAATCACTGAGAGACTAACCTACTGTTATAGGTGCAGACACATACATAATTTACCTCTGTATAATCACACGATGACTTCACAAATAAGCTAGTTCTCTCTCGTCCTATATAGCGAAATATTAATATGTATAGTAGTTATATACTGTAGCAGTACTTGGGTACTCTTTATATATCTTGTCATATTCTACTCGTAGATAATGTGAGGAAATGTTAATATATTTTGATGCTACCAAATTATAAAACTCTCATATATTTAAGCAAAAATAAACACAACATTCAAGAAGAGAGACTATCTAGGAAAAAGGCAAAATTGTTGAATAGAAAAGAAATATACGATCTAGTGCAGCAAATATCTATATGGTTTGAAAATATTTACATTTTGTATTATAAATTTACGTTGTTATAATCGTATTAAATTATTAAAAGAGATTACAGTTGTTAGTGCAAAATAAGATACATATTTTTAGAGATATTATTATAAATGTGCGAAAATTCCACTAACTACGAACATATTGGTGTTGATGTTGGCAGATTAATACCAACAACGGCTGCTTCGCATTTAAAGCGAAAAATTACGAGTGTAAATATTTAACCAAGGACAATATTCCGCCATTTCTCCCGTCGGCCGTAATCGTACATCAAATATTAACAACTTAATAATTTGAACGCCCGTAAAAATAACGTTCATTTAAATTGTGCCGTAAAACCGGCAATGTCTCAATAAAACACCTCCGTACGGACATCGTAGACTTTCCATGAATTACGAGTATTGCCGCTACGTTGGAAATGAAATTGCGTTTGAAAACCAAGTGTATATACATATGTAGTAGAAGAATACATACATGCTTCCACTTTTCTTTTTCATACACTCCAATCCTTTGTCCCAGTTGGTATGTTCTACTTTAGACTAGTTAAATCTTGGGTAGAAGGGTATATTAAGGTTTCTTAAAGGTCGGCAACGCGCACGCGACATCTCTAGTGTTTCAGGCTATGTTATGCTATATTATAGGTCTATAAGCCAGGATAACCATTTACCATTAGATGGGCCGTATGCTTGTATGCCACTTTAGTGATATAAAAATCTATTAGTATATAGTCGACAATATTCTGCTCCTTGATGGCGTAATGTAGAAGGGACATGTACATTTTCGCGGTCAGTTTAGCAGCATGAAGTCTTGTAAGCTGTTTCTTTTTAAAGGTTGAGATATAGTAGTGAAAGCCTTGATACCTCCGTAGTCTTAGCAATGGCATTATATATAAATTGACTCACGAGTATTATACAACAACGTGATATTTGTTTTGGTGTTCATGTACATTCGCGACTTATATGTACTTTTCATCAAGTACATCATCAGTTTGTTTTCTATATCAGTTCTTACACAACAATATCTTTTTATAGCCTTCTAATATTCTATCCCAATTGATTTTTTTTTTTTATAGAATCGTTAATATTATAAATCAAACTATTAGGATTATCTGTGACAGTCCCTAATTTCGTACTAATCTAAACAATTTTAAACTTTAAATCTTTAAAGGTAAGGTACATTATTGTGTTGCTTGTAAATGCTTAAATTTCGTTATTCATCAAATTACTTCCACTTACATTGTTTTTCGATAAAATCGTTTTATTATGCAACTTAATTACCATGCCGTAACATGTTTGATGGCCGCCATCGAAAATATGGTAGGCTCAAAATAATTATCTGTTCACGTTGAAATACCGAGTTAATTTGTTCCATCAAAGTAATATTGTTTATTTACACAGTTAGTTTGTAAATTTGTGTTAATAATCTTATTAGTATTATTACTATGAAAAAGGTACTTTACTTAATGAATATTTTTTTAGAAATAAACTTTATTTTCAGCACTTTAGGGTGCTCGTTCTTCCATTCCATTCAGAATACTAATTCAGTTACCAAATTACCAGTAGACAGGAGTAGATTCTAAAAGTGAAGATTAGAAATGCTCTTATAAATAGTAAATTAAGTCAATTGAAGTACTCAAAGAAAATCAATATCTGCAGCTAATATTTTCAGTCATAATCAAATTCCACCGTTTTAGATACAAATAAAATTCAACTACGTTATAAAACGTTCTAGAACAATTTATTTTAAGTATAAAAAGAATATTTTATAATTATATATTCTAAAAATATACTTCGTATGTAAGTTTAATCCCTTTTGTATATATACAATACATTAAAAGTTTTCATAAAGACCAAAATATAATAACAGATAGATTCATCAGTACAGAAATAAATAAGTAATAAGGCTACAAACAAACTAATATTCTCCATACCCTTAATATTATAATGTATGTAATATGTTTACATAAATGGTTAAACATAATATATTTCGGGCTCCGATTATGATAATGCAAATAAATGGAATATTGTAATGAACAATGAATGTGAAGGGCTAGCTTAGGGTTAGCACTGTTAGCTCTAACTACTTTGTTGAATGGTAACCTGACCCAAATCCTATATATAAAAATCATTATATTAATTCTTGATGCAAGAACATTGTACTCCTTTTTACTACACTGTACTTCGTCTTACCTAAGTGCCGTTTGACGAAAGTTAGTAATTCGTTTTATGGAAATTGCGTAAGGTTTTACAACATACTGCCAGAGTCAAAAAATCAAATGTGTTATAAAATATTTTCTCTGTAAAAAAGCTTATTATAAAATTGAAGAATTTATAAATGATAATAATGTTTTCGTAGAAAATATCTAACTTAAAATTCATAGCGCTGACAATGTTATCTGATTGAACAGAGATTAAGTGCGTAGCGGTTTCTATGTTGATTGTCGCATGCCTAATCCTTGTTGTTAATTAAATATAATTAAATCAATATTTATTTAAAAGAGCAACACACAAGTTTCTTGCTTATTCTTCTTGTGATGAATCTGCATTCCGAATACACGATAGAATAAAAAAAACTTGACTATTCAAAAGTGCTTATATTAAGTTTATTTGAATAAAGATTATTTCTATGTCTGTTTCTACTGGTGTTGCACTGATGAGAGAGGTATGAAATTTCGCACACTTGTAGTTCATATAAAGAAGGAGTGCAGAATGCTATTGTATTTAATTATACATAAAAATACATAATTACACACAATAATATGTATTTGACGTCCACACGCATATATACTCTCTTGTTTATTATTAAAATATATTTAGTATTGCTGACCACTGCGATGCGACCACTAGTAATAATAACTATGTCGATGTCGCAAAACGAGAAAGTAGTAATAAAGTTTTTGTTTCGAATTGACATTACAACTTCACAAAAACATCATTACTTCATATTTTATTAAAGTGAACGCACATCTTCCTTACATATAAAAGCAATGAAATACTTGTAGTCTATTATAGGATTCCTACTACAAAACGTGACTCTTGACTGCCTTGGTATATCACAGCCCACAGGCTAATGCGACCAAATAACCAACCGACCATCACATAAACTATCAGATGGAGCAAATGCTTGTTCGCCACCATCTTGGTTGTTCCATTGAACCTTTTTTCATCGTTGTTTACAATTATACACATCGATCGAGTCGATCCGTGAACCGTACTTTTGGAAACTATAATATCGGGATATTTCGACGCTGTTTCCAAAAGTCCAAAAACTCTTAAGATTGTGTCCACGCAATAAAATTACGTATAATAGGTATTGTTCAGTATTCATTCTATCTCTATTCAGAGACATTATGTCTCCCCTCATCCAAGCAAGATAGCAATGCTTTCAATCGAAATTTTGTCGTAAATATTTTCGTTCTGCTCTACTCGGCTTATTCTATACTCACAAATAGAAAGATATAGATTTTTTTCGTTATTCTGAAAATTCATTATAATTCCAATGCCTGTACATTATTACACATTTTTGGACTGTTGTAGATTGTTCATATAAATAAGCTTACGATAGGTACTTTTTTTTTAAGTTATATATTTTCATTTATGTGTAAGTTTATAATAAACGTGTTCAAAGAAAATCTGAGTGGTGTGAAATTTTGATATCAGTTGCTTTATTGTATGGGCAAAATTTCATCAAGTTTAAGAAGAACACGTCAAGTCAAGTGTAACATTTTTTGTACGGAGATGCGTCAGGGACTTGTAGTCTTAAATAATATTATTATAGTAAATATGTCGTTTATATAATGTTTACAATTGTTATATTGACTTCATCGACGTCGAGGTTAAAAATTTATGTGACTTGCCCATCTGGAATAGTCATGATATTATATTTCGTTTTATATTTATCTACTTTTTTAAAGCACTTTATTTTACAAATTGTGAGGGATGTTTCAACACAGACAAATTCTTGAATGCTATTGAATTTATTTTCCGTCCATTACAACCCAATCTAATTTTATTTTCACAGAAATCAACTGTCCACTGACGGTATAACCATCTCGGCACCTTCCGAAGCTGGTCGCTGGTCTTTATGGGCTCTGTCATTATCGAACAAAGGTCTTCGATTCTCAGCACCTCGTACAATCAACGTCTTCCGGCCAATCCAACTTGACTTCTCACTTCCTCCAGCTCTGAAAGTGGGAGAAACAGTTGAAGTTGATGTGAAGATAACGAATAATATTAACAATTGCATGGATGTAAGTATAAATTACTTTTTTATTAAAAACTTATTATTTACATTGTAATTACAGCCTCAGTGGTCTAGCGGTTTAGCACACCGCTTTACTTCTGATGGTCGCGGGTTCAATTCCTCGCATGGCACAAACATTTCTATTCAAGAGTATGATTGTTTGTATCTGTCTGGGTGTTTTCTATGTATATATGTTATCTATGTGTTTATAAAAAAAATCTTATTAAAGTATTTATATCAGTGTACCGTTAACACAAGCTCTGCTTACCGTTGGACTAACTGACCTTTTGTGAATATTATTAATTACAAACAAACAAACAAATAAAAATAGCATTTATTAAGAACCTTTCTACTAGTAATGAGAAATACTCATAACGATTTATTCAAGAAACCCTTGAGAATTGCTTCTGTTTCTCGGAATATTCTATAAATAACAAGTCCAATCAACTATATAGAAGTCTAATTTTATCTGGAGTCAGCAGATTCTATTTATTGACCTTTATTGCTATGGTGTGTTTTGTTCCCATCGTTGCGTTTTACATAATGGAGATGAATTTCTCTGATTGAATATTGACACTCACTGAGTTTGATGGACAGGTTTAAAGAACAGGATGCATGGGAAAAAATAAAAATGATTGATAAATAAGGTTGAGGACACTGAGAAACAAATAAGCTTTATATTTTAAGATGTAGAAGTTAGAATTTAACTTAAATCTATGAAACCATTTATGGTTTTTGAATGTTATTGTAAAATAGTTCTTATTCGCTACGAAAAATAAACTAAATCCAACTTATTTAGGGTCATACTACTTTTTTTAATTTGTATATATATATCTATATATATATGATTTCCTAAATAAAAGTACATAACATGACTTTTTAAAAATACATCAAGCCCTTAATCCTCTGTGAGATATAAGTATTTTCCTCCACCTTGCAGCTTATTCTCTGACAGTTTTCATTAGTCTTTGCCTTCTACGCTTGGTCATTTATTGATAGACACAAATCACCATCTTACATAAAATTCTAATCGAATATTGTAGGGTCTTTTGCGCCATGATTTGTATATTTATGGTATAAAATTATAATTATAAACTATTATTATAAATAGGAAAGTTTTGATTTTGTACTTTTAATGGTTTGTCCATTAAAAGCAGAAAAGTAAGTATTTATAAAATCTTCTCTAAATTTATCTCTATATATAAAATATAAATAATTTTAGAGGAGTAAAATTATTTATATTTTAATAAAACTCAGGATAAAATGATACATTCATTATTACCAGTAATAATGAATGTATCATTAACTATCATCTAGAGTCTAATCTTATCCTTTTTGACTGAAAAGATATTAAATACAAACGTAATTTAATTGAAGTATTGCAACCTGTTTGAGAGGCAAGGCTGCAATCTTATTTAACTTACCGAATGTCTCAAAGTTTATACATGTATACTGCAATTTCCCACAGCCGTACGTGCCAAAAACAATGCGTACTGATGTGAGTTTGAGACGGTTAAACCAGGATAGATTACATAATCGACCCATTTGCTGGGATTTGCGCGCGATCGCCGCCATTATCCTGGAATCCCTAATCGGGATTCGAGGAGCGGCGTCGATTGCAAACAAATAGCTATCACACGTGTGGTTACTATACCAATTTGTTTAGAAAAGTTTCTATTGCGTCTAATGGGGTTTTATAACTTCGTTAATCTGATCCATTTAATGGGAGTTTGTGAACTGGTATGTAAAATGAAACTGAGTGCTAAGTTTAAAACTTGTGATGCCTACATTTTGAACTGTTTCAGAATTAGTCTGCAACTGTTGTAATAGAAATAATAGTTGTTTAAATTAGGTAGAAAGTCATCTTCATGGGTATCTCTGTGACATATATTTCGGCAGCTTTGGAAACTGTATTTCAATTCTCATATAATAACGTGTTTATCGTAGTACTGCTTCTATATTTAGGCGACGGTTAGATGACCATCAGATGAGTCATATTATTTTATATACCAGTTTGACAAACAAATAATATTGAAGAACTATAATTCAACCTGAGGTCCCCAGGTTGAATAATAGCATAATGAAATAAGTTCCAATAACTAGAAGGTATTGGAACTTATTTCATTATGCTATTATTGTTTGACAGTAGTAAATATATTTTAATTTGATTAAATACTCGATATTGTCAAGGGTAACTGGTCTAAAATTCGGTTGCGAAACTAGAAAAGAACAAAAACAAATAAAAATTTACTACACATCAGAAAATATAAAATACATTGAATTGAAACAAAGTAAAGAATTCGTATTAATATAGTAACATACGAAAACTAAAGTCGAAGAAAATGAAAATTCACGATAGTGTTCCTAAACGATTTTCAGGTCTGAAAATAAAAATTCATATTTTGGAACGATTCTAAATTATTTTCATATTGGACGTTGTTACTTGGTTTATTTTTTAGAATATATGTAAATAGGTACATACTATTAGTACTCTTAATTATGTAATTCTAATGATAATAAGACTCATTTGAAACAGATTTCAATTCGCAGTATGGGTATTATGCATGAATCATTCCGTAGTCAAGAGTTGTACTGTTCTGTCTGTAACTATCAAATGTTTTAAATATATATAATCACAAAACTGGCAGATTCTATTTATTTCGAATTTATAAACATTTTCTATGGACTTACTTCTGAAACCTTAATATACTCTTCACCAAGAACCTCACTCTGTAGTTTGTAGAGATAACCTCGGTAAATCAGTCTTCAAACTGAGTGTACGTACGAGGAAACTTTTCTGAACCCTTACTTCCTATGACTACTAAGGTCCCAGAGTTGAAGATGAATTCCCTATCGACCGCGAGTGGTGCGAAGAAGGTGTGGAAAGAAGGTTGCTGTAGGCATCATGTTAATCAAAGCACAAGTCTATGCATGAGACTAGTTTTGAGGCTAAACGAATTAAGTGTTGTATATCAGGATACCACATTTTTCTGCTTATCTCGTGAATTTGACATGACGAAAAAAACTGAAATAAATATCATTCTATCGACAAGAATATTCTACAAAGTCACAATAACAAATAATTAATTAACAATTACATAAAATACGTTCCCATTATCAGAAAGTAATATCTGAGAGGTTATATTAAGTGTAACAAAGATTCGGACACCGTCCGTAGCATAAAGGAAACGAATTAATACGTTCTCTTCAAATCAAGCAATAATAAGTATTCGGAAATATCTGCCTCATAGCCCGGGGTGCGAGATCCGGGCGGTTATAATTGCACCCCCACCACCTACCCCCTTTATTGGCCTAAATATCTGCCAAATCAACATTAGAGAATCACTTTTTATATTATATTATATTATATTATATATATATATATATATATATATGAACGTTTTTATGTGTATGTTTTTTTTAAGATACTGCTATTAAAGAAATGCCTGCACTAATTTTTTTTTATTATTTTATTACTAATGACATTTATTGTGATAACTTTAAAATCTATACTTAATATCAACATTCAAACATTCAATGTATATTGGTCATGGATAAATATATAAAATATATAATCGCATCTTTTTATTTACTTAGCTTGATTTTAAGTAATAATAATATCGGTTTTATAAACAAATTCTTATAGCTAATCCCATTACTGTCACAACCCCTCAAGGATGTCTCGTTTATTTACATTGACGTTCACGAATATTCTCCCAGTGGGAGGTATCTTGCCGAAAGCCTAATACAGTAATATAATCCTGATAAAGTATTATACATATATAACTATACTTTTTAACAATTTCGGGTACATACTTCGATAAATATAAGATGTTTTGTCTTTCTTATGGCACGTTAGAACGGACTGTATTAACCATACCAATATTATAAATGCAAAAAATGTCTTTCTAATTATTATAATTTCACGGCTAAACAGATCTTAAATAAATATATAAATAAATATCATAACTACGTATATTACTGTTTGTATCAATCTTTTTTAAAAAAACTCGATTCATACAAACACAAATAAGATTATGACGGCCGAAAAATCGGTTGTGTAGCGGTTTACCACACTGCTTTACTTCCAATGGTCGCGTGTTTCGTAGATTTATACGGTACTAACATTCATATTATATGAATATGATTGTATGTATCGGTCTGGATTTATCAAGTTTTTCTATCAGTTGTTTAGTACCCGTAACATTAGCCCTGCTTAACGTAGTACTAGGTGGCATTGAGTGAATTATCCAGGATATTATTATTATTATTATTTTAGTATGCTTCCGTTGATGGGGTGATAGATCTTTGCGGGTGAAAATCACCAAACATTGTTATTATTTTTAAGAACGCGAAATTGTGTCGGTTTAACAGTATATTTGTTATATTTACCTATATTACTATTTTAAAATTAATATTGTGTTTCTATTTTTCCGAAGGTAACCGCTCTACTGGCCCTTAGCGCAGGCGCAGCATTTGCCAGCACCGGTGCTCTTTATGTTACTGAGAGATTGCGGTTGGGCCCGAGAGGTGGCACTCAACTCGTGGTCAGAGTGGCTGTGAATACACCCGGAAGGAAAAACATAACTGGTATGTAATGTAAATATAATATAAACTCTATTCTCCACATTTAACCTCTCATCTAGGCCGTTGTGCGTAACTTATAAGTATTTAATCAAAAAAATAATAATAACAGTCAACAATGCATTTCCGGTACAATTTTAAAATACAAGTATGTCGAAATACCATAGATAAATATGATTTTATATTTTTTTAATTATAATATTTAAGTGGAAATAAATAATGACACTGAAGAATTTAAATAACTCTTATTTTTCTTTTTTATATTACGCTTATGAACTACAAGCTTAATATTATTTTCATTCGAGTTATAGTATTCTTTTTTTTTTTAATATTATAATATTCTATATAAATTAATGAAGATTTTTAATTAAATTGTAGTCGGAACACTATGCGTGCATTATTCATTATTATTTTTTAAAAAATTTCAGTTTGTTATTATTATTACAAAAAAATATTGTTTTCTTTTATGAAATGCAATGTTTATAAATAATCTGAATTAACGCAAATATTCTCATATATTGTCCACAATGGTTTACATTAAGTTTAAGTATAAATGGACTATAACTTTCAGTAAGTTCTTTAATTAAAGTAAAGACAAGCGTCGTGTCAAATATGTGAAATGTATTTTTTTGTATGTTTATTTCTTTAATCATCATAAAATATGGCATTTACAAAACATTATTATTTTGATGACATTTCGTCAACTTTTTACACCTTTCAAGCACATAAGAAGAACGAGCAAGAAACTTGCGTGTTGCTCCTTTAAATAATCGTTGTAACTTTATTTTAGTAGTAGTAAATTTAGTGTTATATGCACTAAAAGTATTAACATATAGGATTTATATTTCAAAACCTTTCCGAGACTGAACTCAAAGAAATTTAGCGAGAACCGGAATTAACGGAAATATACGTAAATCTTTCCCTAACTCATTAAAATAACGTGCAGCATAGACAATAATTCCAAGTACGTTAATTAAAGCGAAGACAAATGACGAGCCAAAAATGTTAAATCCCGATTCGAGATAATGATAAAATGTTTTAATGATGGCAATTTGTAATGATTCCTGTATTAATATTACTGAAATTGAACGTCTTAAACTTCCTTAACGACACAGATTAAGAAAATTGGAATGTGCTTGATATTAATGTCTCGGTTTATATACCTGTTTATTAATGACAATTTATTGTAGGCACATAACTACATTACAGTAAAAAATGTATGAACTCCCTTCACTCCGTTCAATCATTAATTAGATATAGATTTAACAGCCTCAGTAGTGTATCGGTTCAGCACACTGTTTTACTTCAGATGGTCGCGGGTTCCTGGTACTGTACACACATTTGTATTCGTCAGTATGATGTATTTACAAAAATGTGTCTGAGTGTATCTGTTACTTGTCTAGTACCTATAATACAAACTCTGCTTGTCTTGGGCCTAGATGTCGCTGTGTAAATTGTCCAAAGATATTATTATTATTTAGCAATTTGTATATTCGGTGGCAATTTATAGTAAAACTCCGTTCTTTCAATATTGGAGTCATTATAAGCTATAGCACTGTCATATAGTATTTCTGTTGCGAATTTCATCACAGTAAGTTTACCGTGTCAACAACCTACCGTCGACAGCTCTTCAACAGAAGAGGTTTCGGCAATTTCAACCAATCTTAAAGTTACTCGTAACTTGTATATTTACAATAGTTACAGTATGTAGTTATATGTGTGTTTTGGAAATCAATATGATTTTGTAATTTAAATTAATATTATACAGTGGAAACTTTTTAATTTTTTTCAAAAAATTAAAAAGTTATAATAAAAAGTATAAAAAAACATGACTTTGAAATATATTTCACCCATAATTAAGTATATTATCAGATGGTGACATGGGATGGTTATTTATTTTAAAAAAATAGAAATCTGGAAGTGAAATTTTATGAGTTTGTGAGCTTACAAAGATTATAAAATTTGCAAATATTAAAAAAAAAACGTTCATCTTATCCTTCAGTCGTATTGAGGAAGTAGTAGTTTGCAAAAAATGTAGGTATATTTCCAAAACTATTAGCAATATTTAAGTATTACTCGTAGCTTAATTTCCGTGAATTTTATTATCATCATGAACATCTGTATTGCCAACCTTCAGGTATTTAGTCCCGTACGATAAAATAAAGGATCTCATATATTGGCTCAATTTAGCTCTCTAACCTACTGCAATCGTAAGTTGATCGATTTCCAAAATTCCGTACTGTTACACCCAGCAAGAAACAGATTTGATTGAAGTCAACACTTCTATTATTGCTGACTTCAGTAATTCTGGGCCATAGGGCGCATCCTAGGCCTCAGTCATATCACTTGTAAATAATTAAATTTTCTTTTCTATATTTTTTTTTACACACTATTTATTTTCGTCGTATAACAGTATGAATGAATCCTATTACCGGTTGGTATCCCTGATCAACAACATGACAATCGCCTGGAATACTTCAAAATTATTTACGCACTCTAAAACGAGTACCCAGAGTACTGGCGAACAGTTATTACAAAAGTAAACATCGAAATTCCGCTAAGTAAACGGAACTCCACATCTCTCAGAAGATGTTCCTTGTTTGCGATATTCAAATATGATTAGTTCGTCACTGTCGGAACTGTTTCAATTAACATTTAAATTGAACTCAATTTTGGTTCAACGGGACTTAGGACCTATTGGAAGTTGGAAATTGATTGAATTGGGAACGCAAAAGACCCTTGTTTGTTTAAAAAAAAGAGAAACCAATCATCGTTTTTCGATAAATTGAATTGCCATACGACTTATATTCGTTGTTTTTTTTTTCATGAAATTGAAATGGCATATATGCTGATGGTAAGTAGTAAAGTGGTCGTCTATATATGTGAACATGACATCCACGTGAATCCGCGATACCACTGAAGCGTCGACATTCCGGAGAAATACGAAGTAATGTCTCTTATGCAGAATTTCACTGCGAAATTACCTCACTTTTCCACCAACCAAAACACATCTTCCAAAATTATAAGGCGGCTGAAATAGCCTTGCCACCCTTAGTGTGTCAGTCTATTTCAGGTATCAAGCAAAGCAAAGTTTACAGTCTTGATATAATTCCAAAATATATATTTTGTACATAAAAGGTTTTAAACTTTTAAAATCCTCATAAATACTAAATAACAATCAGGTAACTCGTGTTATACATACACAGTCAATAAGTAAGCGAATTCAGTCTAATACGCGACACACCTACTATAAGATTCAACAAAAAATATAGGTAGATTACTTTGTATATATAAAAACAAAAAAAAATATTGCACATGTCACTTAAAATAGTATTAATATTGCAAACGCGAAATTTTGTGGGTATGGATGGATGTTTTTTTTCTTTCACGCAAAAACACTGAACGGATTTTAATCAAACTTTACAGTAATATAGCTTATACATCAGAATAACACAAATACTATATATTTCACGCGGGTGAAACCACAAGCACAGTTAGTATTACATAAATCTCTAAAAAAAAAACAAAATCACCTAGGTATATTTAGTAACAGTTGCACCCTCCAATGAAAAACAATGTTTTTTGTTTCTCCTACATCTGAAATATTGTCGCAAAGAATATAACAATACATGTACTGATATAACGAGATGAACTATTAAAATATATAACGAAGCTTCAATTGCTTTCCAAGTGTTTCTACGTTCGTTCGTATACGTGGTATATTCTATTACAGTAGCAATACAAGCGTGGTATTCTAGAGAGGCCATTTGTGATCCTTGCGGGCCGTGTAATGAGACTGAAGCGGCAATAATCCGCCCCTGCTTATGAATAGCTTCATTTGTTGTAAATTAGACGGGCCTGATGGTGGAAGCATGGAAGAGTTTATGCCATGTTGGCAGAAAATTTTCCATGCATCCATGCTTTGGCAGCAAGAATTAAATACATTTTTTTATTTCTATTTTAAATCGTTATATTATAACAGCTATACTAATATTACATATCCGGAAGTGTACCTGTAGATATTATGTATGATATTTAGTGCTTGTTAGACAAATGATAGGTACAATATTTAAATAGTTTATTATTATAATCAATGCTTATATACTACTAACTTACAAAGTGATTCATTTACAATATGTCTGTATGATGATGATTTAATGACATTTGATATGAAGATGATGATTTATCTTTATATTAAATTTAATTAAAATCAATTCAACCATTTCACATGAACTAATAAAAGCTAATGTTTATCTCAAAACACATGTGTAGAGTAGAATAGAGCATAATCTATGTCACTTTTCAATCAAAACAGAGTTTACAAAGCATGCTGCTTCCCGGAAATAGGGGATCCAAGCAGACGATTTTATACAAAGTCTGCCTTAGTAAGAGATCTGTACAGAACGTATATATTGCCGCTACGTCTCTTATACTTGTACCATAGTACCACGTACTGTCGTAATCATAAAGAATAGAGATAAAAACGCTGCGTCAGAAACGGGGTTGAAAGAAACTACGAGAATAAAGTAATTTTATGTTAGCCTGCATGGTCTATGAGAGGAATATATGTACTCCACACTCAATGACATAAAACTAGGTACTACCTACTAGGTAACTGTCTTCATAAAAATATTATACGATATATTCACTTTATTGGACCGTACCTACAGATGGAATAATAGAATTAACCTAGTTTACCAGTTCTGTACAACTCGACCGTACAAGTCAGTCGCCATAATGTTTTATGTTGCCACTTAATTCTAAATTATGTTCGTATTTTGTTGTATGTTGTTTGAACAAAGAATCAGAAAATTATATAATTCTATAATGATTTGGTTTTGAAGAAACTTTCTATTTTTTTCAGCCAAATCTGCAAAATATTATTCAAACTTCTACTAATTTCCATTCTACTTTACTCTTATTTTAGTTATATTAAATTGGGAATAGCTTATTTTAGAATTGTAGAAATACATTACATTTTCTTTTATTTTACTTAGACGCTCATCTTTCACATTTGTTTTTAAATTATTCCGTTACAAATACACTTTCGTGGACAGAAATAAAAAATTATTCAATTATATACATATTCAAGCCCCAAGGGAATTTCTAAATAGAAATATATTTAATACTAATAATTAAAGGTATATATTTCTCTATTTAAATTATTATACTTTAGTACTTAGATAAATAAATATTGCCGCGTATACTTACGAGTAAAAATATTAGGCTTCTGTAGTAAGTGTTAAAATTCACGATAAATGTGTCATCTCCAGAAAATCGTATTTCTGCAACAATACTGGCATTAGTTCAATAACATCAACTTATTTAGATGTCTATATATCTGTATTTTCCTTTTTATCTGAATCTGACAGTCTACGTCTTCATACTTCGATGGGTTCTTGCTAAGTGCTCGCGTATGTACTTACAAGTTAAATATTAGCTAAACCGCTTCTTTGCCAGCATACTGGTATGTTTGCCAAAATTAAAAAGGACTTTATTATGTTTACCTTCATGGTATAAAATAAATCCAATATCTTATGTAAACGCTATTTTAATTTAGTTGCTGATTAGTTCTGTATGGTATTGATATTAATCCGCTTTAGTGAGTAAGAAGAATCACCCTCAATAATTCAGTAATCGATTTGATATAATTAGTCATTTATTACCAAGAAGAATTAATATAATAGAAATCGTAGAAAATTTGTACAAGATTATATTATTCTACTTTAAAAAAAAAATGTAAATTGAAATTAAAGTATCAGTAGGTCTATAATTGACTAATTTCTACATTATCTACCTCTTTTATATATGAAATATCGAAATTACGTTATTTAATTTCATCTAGCTTGTACATTAGTCTCGTCAGGAGATTTTTTTTACATTGTAATATATTTTAATGTTTTCTTTTTTATTTATAACTAGCTATTTCATGATATATAGGATACTAAAAATAATTCAAACCTGCACCTTACCTTTAGAGAAATTAGAGAAAGATTAACAAACAACTATTTTCACGAATTTTCGTTGATTTTTTCAATGTTTTCATTCGTCATTCTTTTCATTCTCCAGTGGAAGTCACCGGTTACAGTGCTGACAACTGCTCGGTTTCATACACTTCATTCAACAATGAGACACTTGTCGGCTCCGTGATCAGGTCTGCTAGCGTTCTCGTGCTGCCTGAGGGTTTACACAGGAGTGATACACAGAGCGCGTATTTCTGTGCAAATGGTAAGTCAGCTGCTTTACATAGGCTTAATGTCCTCGAGATATACGTATATTGATCTGTTACTCTTATGATTTTCTCTTTAAATGTCAACCTCATAGAATGTGTACCAACGTATTCGATCAATATAACCAAGTAGTACATATATGTAGAAGTTTAAAAATACCTTTTTTATGAAATTAGTATAGTAAGCCTCGTCTCTATATACTCATATAGAGACGAGGCTTACTATACTAATTTAATAAAAAAGGTATTCTAAGATACATACAATACAATACAATACAATAGTAATGAAGACATTAATTTACCATGTGACAACTGTGCTACATTGCCGTTCCAGAGGAATAAAATGTCATACAATATACACTCTACCAATGTGCACCCTACAACCAAAATATAGATTACAAAGCTGCTTGGCAGTTGAAATAGATGAGAGCGAGGTTCCCACGGTGTGTGTACGGCGTGTACGTTATAGTATCTCGCCCCGCATTGAGACTAACATATTAGTGCAAAAATTAACATAAGTTTTAAAAATAATATATCTTCAACTTTTAAAAATTTCAGAACATTTAGCTGTATCGTCTCGTGGTTCCTGGGAATGGGAATGGGTGGCTGCGCCAAGGAACAGGGCTGGTCTGGTGTTGGAGCTGCGATCACGGGGAGCAGCCCACGTCGCCTTGTCTGCTGTCAAAGAGCCTTCTGATGATATGTATAGAGTCGTTTTTGAGAGAAGCAGGGTGTGGATCGCTAAAGGAAGACATGGTAAGTGGCATTATCTCTATTTGTAGAAAATATGATGAATACAGAAAGAATAATTTGGTAGACAATCCATGAATTTAAAAAAAATATAATAATAGATATAAACTTCCTAGAAAAAATTTATCGTTATACTAAGGAGTTGGTGTTTTTATGATACTAATTGGTTAATGGAAATCTTATTTTCTAAGTAACAACTTACTTTTGAAAATTACCTTTCCATATTTGTTGTAGATAATAAAGAAGGAATAACTTCATTTTCATGTATAACTTATATTAAAAGTATAAATAAAGACCAAATAAAAATGTAATTCCTGACAAATAGTATATTTTAAAGTGTTTAGTTCTGTATAATGATATAATTAGATTGCTTGTTCATATTAATAAAAAAATAAAAAAAGTATAAATATGTCCTGATTTATATATTAACCTAAATATAAACGATTCATTTCAGGGTACGATGTGCATTTAGCGAGTGCAGAACAAACGGAAAACGATGAAGAGTGTTCGGGTGCAGACTCTTGGTGCGCTTGGTGGGTTTGGTGGGAAGGAGGCAGATTGTCCGTGGGACGAGGTGCCGCTCCATCTGAAAGAAGACTCCTTGTCTGGCCATTATCATCTGACATGAGGATCAAATATGTAGGCTTCAGTGCTTTATGGGGAGATAAAGCTGACTTTAGGTAAGTTTGTAAAAATCAGCTTTTCACTGTCACACAGTTTATCTTACTAAAATTGGTTCATATGAAAAATTTAACAAAGAAGTATAAAGATAGCCCAAATTTCACGATACTTCAGAAAAATAATGTACGTGATGATTATAATACTGGGTATTCGTGTATAAATCTGAAACAAAATGGTAACGGAATTAAACAAAATAATATAAATCCATTAAGTAAACACCAAATTTCTTACAAAACTCTCTAATTCTTTAAAAAAAATTGTTTACAGAATATGGAACTTCAACGAAGAAGCAGGCTTCTCCCAAGTTCTTGAGTTAGGTCTTCCACGAGGTGTGGTCCCCGGCTCGGCAAGTGGAACTCTATTAATTTCAGGAGGTCTCCATCTACCTCTATATAGTTTTCAGACAGATTCAACTGATCAGTGGTCAGAAGTGTGGAGGGATTCCCAATTGTCGGCAGCATCGGCCAGCTTGGCTCCTTTATTGGCATTAGAGCACATTCCGCATTTGGTAGATGATACTGAAAGAGAGAAAATTTTGAAGAAATTACCGGAACAGGTAAACATATTTTATTATTTATAGTTTTTTGTACAGTCACAGTATTTAGGAATAAGAAACAATAGAAATAATGTACAATAAGTTTAACTTTGCAAGAGTTTTCACCCTGCTAGTTACAACTACTATATAATTTATGCTCTGCACAAGTTTAATATAGTTTTACGAGTAATATATTTCTGAAATCAACGAATCATTCTTTAATTATTTTTTCTATATGTATTGAAATTGTATATGTGTATATTATTTTCAGGTTCAAGTACTCCTTTCATTCCGTAAAAGCGACAATTCATTCAGCGATCATCCAGCAATGAGCAGTCATTTATCTACAGTTAAAATTTTAGAAATCTTGACAAAAATACAATCATACTACCCAATTGATCCCGATTTGCTGCAAAATATCAAAAAGTGGATCCAAGGTCGGCAAAATAACGATGGATCGTTTTCTCCGTTGGCTGCTGATAAAGAAGTAGATTACTATCCTGTAGAAATAAAGAAAATTAATGGAACTGATAAAGATATAGACGTTAACGAGTATTATTATTACGACAAAGATGGAAACATGACTCAAGAAGAAATTGAATGGGAGAGAACAGTGGAAGTTACTGCTGAAACATTGGTTGCCTTGTTGGAAGTTGGAGTAGAGAGTCAGGTAATTTACTCCAAGTGATATAAAAATAAAATAAAATAATAGACCATCTTGAATGTTAGTTCCTTACAAACGCTTAAAAATCTGAATAGGTTAGAACATAATTTTGCCGTATGAATTAATAATATATTATATTTTTATATATAAAAATCTGTATTTGGTTCATTATGTCAAAATATCTTTCTATATCACAAAATTATATCTATTTCAGATGGATGCAGATATTGCAAAAAAAGCCCAAAGTTATTTAGAGAAGAATCTGTATAACTTGACTTCACCTGCTGCTTTAGCCGCTACTGTATTGGCTCTTGTACTAGCAAGGTATGTTTAATCAATAATATAGTAATAATAATACTGGACAATTTACACTTTTTTTTTGTTGTAACTACATACATAATATACAAAGAAATCACCCACCCAAAACAAACACAAAAGTTTTCATCCAGCGACGAATTAATTTTACACACTACATTCTAACTACTAATATCTACTTTATTAGTTGTATATTTAGTATCTATTATTTTAAAAGCCTTATTATTTATATATTTTAGGAGCCCGGTAGTACCGGAAGCATTGGTGATCCTGAGAAATGCGTCAACTACGGAAGAAGGGGAGTTTGGATGGCCTGCTCCTAGAAAAGATGCTGCCGATTGGCTTCTTGAAGAAACATCAAGGAACATCAAAATGACATCTTATGGTAAACAAATTGTCTTAATAATGATTATAACTTTCGCCTTCAATTACATTTAGGATATGATGTCCATATAATTTAAAAATTTAATTTTAAAAAGAGTATTTTTTTTATAGTATCCACGCTGACTTATAATATTTCGGTCGTGCCTTCAAATTATCTACGAAATCCGTGAATTAGTGTAACTTTTTACTGACAATGAGCATTTTTGAGGTTTATCACGAATTAGCAAGAATAAATCATATGGTCATATGCCATATGGTCTAGCAGCTGGTTACTACCAAATAAGTAACATAACTTATTTTGTACAATTACAGAAGCAGTAACAATGGAGCAGTATGTTGCTGGTGTTCGTGTACTATTAGCTGCATGTGCTCGAGGCGCACTCGCTGAAGGAGAAGCGGCTGCAAGATTTTTATACTATCGAGCATCGACATTACAAAGGCATCCCAGTCTTGCTTATAGTGCTACTAAAGCAGCAGCACAGTACGCCGCATTAGCACATGACAGGTATATATTTTGGTATAAAACACTTAAAATTAGTACATAAATGTTATTAGTGATTAAAATATCTTTTAATTCCGAATAACGAATCAATAGTATTTAATTATCACTCTTCCATAAGCGTTTTTGACTAATATGTAATGGATTGTGTTCGGAATAACTGATTAATATATTATTATGTAGCCACCGTAATATTCTATCAACTTTTATCAATAGGGAATTCATATCCATACTTTTGAACATAAATGGTTAGAAACAATACGGCTTTGAAGAAGTTTCTTCTGGCAAATGCTCATAATTTCAATTTTTTTTATAAATTTTTGATATAAGTGTATTCAAAGAATCAATAAACTGACTCTGGGAATAGTAGTCATTAGGGTTAGCTGAATCGTGTAGTCAATATTATCAACTCGTATCGTAACTGTTCCAGCTGACGGTATTCTGTCACAAGTTCAAGGTCTTTTATTTGCGAGCTTAAAACATGCTAATACAAGACGCAGAATTTTAATAAATACATTTCTATGCTATTCCTTGTTATCGTGTGATATCAATTCTAATAATTAATGTTCACATATTTATATATATAACATTGTACATAAATACAAATATAAGAAGTTAAATTGGCAGCATATGCATGCATATTTTATATAGCCACCACTACTTAATAAGAATAGACCTAATTGTAACTCCTGAAATATATGAATTTCATGTTTACAGACACCGAGCATTAACAGTCTCTCTGGCGACTGCAGGCATGGAATTAACAGATACATTAGAGCTCCGAGCTCGTACTTCACCCAGACTACTTCAGTTACCAGGATTGCCTACTAAAGTGTTTGTATACGCTACAGGAGCTGGCTGTGCTACAGTGCAGGTAATATAAGTATTTTTTTATGTAATTGGATTGGCAAACTGATGTAGCAAGCAAACAGGCAGATGCAGCAAGCAAAGAGGAAACAAGCCGTTTAAGTATATAGGCAACGGTCATGACTTGCACAGTACACCACAGACATCGCATTAGGTAGCTAAAATCAATTGTTCTGACAGACATCATATTATCCTGTAATTTATAAATTTTACATGATTATTATTGTTATAAAACAATAATAGAAAATAGTGCTAATGGATTATTTATGAAATTGATTTTTTTACAATTATAAATATTTGAACATATCATCAAATCTTAATACAAGCCAACTCTAAGTTGATAAAGTTTGGTTCATCATTGATTATTATTGTTATAAAACAATAATAGAAAATAGTGCTAATGGATTATTTATGAAATTGATTTTTTTTACAATTAAAAACCAAAAATATTTGAACATATCATCAAATCTTAATACAAAATCTAAATTGATAAATTGTTCTGATTTTATTGTTATAAAACAATAATAGAAAATAATGCTAATGGATTATTTATGAAATATTCAATATTTGAACATATCATCAGATCTTAATACAAGCCAACTCTAAATTGATAAATTTTACATGATTGATTATTATTGTTATAAAATAATATTAGAAAATAATGCTAATGGATTATTTATGAAATTGATTTTTTTACAATTAAAAACCAAAAATATTTGAACATATCATCAGATCTTAATACAAGCCAACTCTAAATTGATAAAGTTAGGTTCATCATTGATTATTATTGTTATAAAACAATAATAGAAAAGAATGCTAATGGATTATTTATGAAATTGATTTTTTTACAATTATAAATATTTGAACATATCATCAAATCTTAATACAAGCCAACTCTAAGTTGATAAAGTTTGGTTCATCATCATTCGTTTCATACTTTTCGCATGTTATGCTTTAATAATATAAAAGAGATCCATTTAAACGTTCTTTGTCTACTCTTATAAGCTATTGTGTTTGAATTTTATATTTTCTTCATTCCAGGGAACGATATCCTACTCAACTTATACACCGAAACCGGAGAATGCTTTATTGAATATCCAAGCAGCTATCATTGAAGAAATCAGGCCTGAAAGGAGTAGTATAGAAGATCTACAAGGAAATTTACCAACATTGATTATCAAGACCTGCTTCAAGTAATTTATTTTATCTAATTGTCTTTAATATTTTTTTGATAGAGGAAATATCAATACAACAAATATTAGCAAATACTATAATTTAAAACAAATTCTAAATCCTGAAGTATAAACTCATACCTACATAAACTAGATGAATATTATATTGAATTAAATGGTTATAAACTATATCAAATTGTGTTATATATTCTGTCTTATCTATAAAGCTCTATCTTGGTAGGTACTATACTATTATATTTCATTTCAGATGGAAGGGAAAAGAGCGTTCAGGTATTCTACGATTGGAATCTTCGCTGTTCTCCGGATACGAATTGCATTCCGTAAATCCAGTAGTACTTGATGGGGCCACTTTTGCTGATTTACATTATGGTTCAAGGGGTGAATCTGTCTGGTTCGTTTTTGCCAATGTAAGTATTTTTTTATAGCTTCCAAATTCCTTTAAGGTATTTAACCATTGACATAATATTCCGAACCTGAATTTTATATAAGATTAAATGATCAAGTAATTTATTGCTGTACTGAGTTTAAATCTATATTTACGATTAAACCAAAATCCATTACAAAAAGCTTATTGATAATATGATTTAAACATGCTCTTATTAAGTTTTTACAGTTAGTATTTTAATTCAAGTATTGCAAAATTGTAAAATTTATTAATACAGTAAAAATATGAAATTACAGATTAGTTCAACGTGCCCTGTATGTGTCACATATGAAGCAAGATCGAAGTTCATCATTACTAGTTTAAGACCAGCATTTACCAAAATTTATCCAGCAACTCGGCCTGACTTAGCTGTTGAAACTTTCTTCCATGCAAGGCCTGGAAGCCCTCTACTTAGAGGTATTACTGATGACGATTTCATTACATGGTTTGATAAAACTGAACTTGCAAGTCTCAAAACTACTACAAATATTGATAATATTTGTGAGTGTGGACGTATTTGTAGCAGAGATTATGAGTTTAGAAAACATATTGAAACAAAACATGGTAAAGTACCAAATGTTACAAATATTGGAACTACTGAAACTCCTCAAAGTTCAAATGTAAGAGAAATGGAATTAACTAGTACTCCAATAAGTGTAACTACAAGTACGACGCAAAAGTCAACAATTGCAGAAATTACTGTTACCACCACCAATCCGACTTTTACCATGTCTATTTCTCACATTAAAAAAGAATTTACAAGCACAACTTATAATAATGTAACAAAGAACACAACGTTCGAGAAACACAGTTACGATCCAATTATTATTCCTACTGTAACTGTTATAAATCAAACCAATACTTCGAAAGTCGATAATAATATTGTGCCATTGTTACCCAAAGTTAATGGAGAATTGGTAGTACAAAAACAATATACACCTAAATTAGCATCGAAAAAAGAAGACATTAAGAAAAAACCTCTTCCAAGACGCAAAGGTACACTCAAAGCTGTTTATGGTGATAAACAAGAGAAATTCTTTGTAAAAGCTAATGCAGTTACCAATGTTTCAATGAGTCATAAAGTCAATAGAACTAAACTGAAAATAAATAAATTGTTAGTTCATAATGAATATGTTCAAAATAATACTGATTTATTTAATGATAGCAATCAAATAAATCCTTTACCAAAAATTGACAAAAACCAATCATCAGAAGCGCTACATAAAAATGATTCTAATGTAACTATATCTCACAGTTCTCATTTTGAAGTAACTGGTATATCTCATTCGATTACAGCTATAACAAATAACAACATTAAAACGATCCATAGAATAAAAAAACCAGAACTAACGAATCAAATAAACAAACCGATAGTGCAAGCGCATTACAATGTAACGAACGATGCTAAAAATGACACTGTACATTCTGAGATAAAATTAAATAAAACTAAAATGAAACATGTGAGCCCAGACAAATACATCACAAAACCATTGAAGTCCATAAATAAGGAAATACACAAATTGCCACCAACACCTATATCTGAAACTTCAAAAGTTTTAACTGATCCCCCTAAATTAGATATTGCACCCGAAAATAGAGGTGGTTTCGAATTATTGGACAAAAATAATATATGGGAGCTTCTTAAAGAAGGCCCAGATACGGAAGTCTCAAAAATAGAAGATAAGTTACAAGTGCATAACAGATTAAATACATTATCACAAAACGTGTCAAATATAGCGCAAAATGATAATCGTTCATTATAAACTTTATTGTTATGTATTATATAAGACACAAAGACTTCAGTAAATATTTTTGTAACACATTCACAACACGAAACCTGTACTGAATTACAAATTGTTAATATTCAAAATCGTAACACGACAATTCCTAAGCACACTAATTGTTGGTTGTTAGAACAATGTACTGCACTTGTTTGTGTAATTTATTAGTTACGATTGGGTGTTTGTAAATAATAAATTAAGCTCTAAATATAGATCTAATTTTAAGATATGCGCTGTGACTACCATTGTGTGTTTTATACCCAATTGCTCAAAATCAGTAAACTTTTTCTCATTTGATGTTTCACTGAAGTTTTAATACATAATTACTTAAGTAGCATCTCGCTTGAGTAGATTTAAAGAGATTATAATGTTATTATGTATAGGCTGCAACAAAATGCCTTTATGTGGCATTGTCTTAATGCAAGGAATAGTGGCTTGATTTGAATTGCTTGAAAGAGAGTAGTAAAAGCGGAATTAAATTTAGAAGTGCTAGAAGAGCTGCTAAGTTTAGTACGATAGCTACCTTTTATTTGTGTTTACTTCATTTTACTAGTCCTAGTATTGTTCTGTGGTGGGTTAGTAGCTCTTATTAAACTAAGATTGTTGTTTTTTATAATACAATTATTAGTTGTGTAAATAATTTTACACGAGATGCCAAATCGTAAATTGTATACCCTTAATAATAGTTTTCTCCTACGTTCTCCTAGATAATAATGATTTACCCTATAGTATAAATAGTAAAACCTAGTGTTCTTTAGAGTTATAACTTAATGCTAATGCCCCAGAATTTCCATCCGTCTAATCTATCGTCTTCTGTATCTATTATAATGTAAATTGTAGTCTCTTACTGTAGCTGTCTAGATGTCTTATCAGTTTGCTTTACATTGTAGATAAGAGGTTTGTTTGTTTTATAATTAATATATTGGTTGCTAGGTTTGCTATCATTTTCATTGTTCACAATTTTCAGCTGTCCTATATAATTTCAATCATTTTTAATATTAGTGTTTTTTTATTACACTCCTAAACTATTACCAATTTAAGATTTAGTACATAATTTTAGTGAAACTTAATTTATTTTAGATATTTTGGTAACTATGTATTCTTCATAAGGGCAATATATTTCTTGTTATATATTTCAACTTATTAGTTATTTCTAACGATTACATTATTACTATTCATTATTAGCGGTCATTGAAATGAGGGTTTCTAATTAAATATATTTAGATTTAATATTATAAATTTTGATTGAAACGAGTATAGTTCATTTATTAAGTTATTAAATAATTAAAATTATTTTATTGGATTACCTAATAAAATTCATGCATTATTATTTGTGAGCTTCTGAAACAGTTATACGAAAAACTTTGGATAATGCTAAAAATTGCTGTTGTTTTATATCTAACTAATATATATTTTTAATATTCCTTTTCTCGATTTTGTTATTCTGTAGTAAATCGTTTATTTTTTATTTAATAATTAACTAGAAAATAAATACGTACATAGTAAGTGCATTTAAAAATATTCGTAGTTATTATTATTTAGTTTTGGATTGTATTCTTAATTTTGTAACTCATGATTTTGTGCAAAATGATTTTATCATTTATCATGAGGAATAAAAATAATAAAAACATTTCATGTTTATTTTGTATTGTGTATATTTTTTGTATTTATAGAGATATAAAACATTTTACATGTATTATATTTCTACCCAACAATATTTTACTTATATTGTGAAAGTTTAATTTTCTCTACATTATTAATATATTGAAATGGATTTTAATATATTTGTAATGTATTAGGTTATCAGGTGTAACATATACTATTTTAATGTAGTTTTTATGTCATAAAATATTTAATGTAATCGTTTACATAAAGAATATTTCTTATTAATATCGTTCCAAATTCAAACTTTTATTTTGATAGTATAATGTACACCGGACATTATATTTTGTAAATCGTCTTAAATATTAAATTATATAAGTTGTAATACAATAATATTTCCATATATCTTTGATTTCATATTTTAGTAGCTACTTCGGTTTTTACATTTTTTAGTAATATATCTTTGTATACATTTCCTAAATATATTTGAATATGTTTTTAAATATGTATAAATGTACGGTTGTAAGGAACTAGGTGCTTGTGCAAAAGATCTCGTCAATTTAAATTGTATAAAGCATCGGACAGTATAGTATTAATTATAAATGCAATTAATGTTTGTGCTTACGAATAAGTTAGTCACTTATTAAAGTATAAAACTCGATGTACTGACACAGATTTAATTAATAGGAGAGATAAAATGATAACACCTGGAATTGTTATTTTATTCTTATATCCACTATTGAGAACCTACCAAATCCATTTTAATGAACACTTAAAACAAATGTATTAAATATTCGACCATTATTTTATCTAACTAACATTATAAACGCGAAATTTAATGAGTATAGATGGATGGATGTTTGTTACTCTTTCACACAAAAACTACTAAACGGATTTAGATGAAACTACAATAATATAGCTTATACAAATACAAATTTTACGCGGGTAACCACGAGCACAACTAGTATACAATATCTACAGGAAAGCACAGAGTAAACAACATTACCTTTTACAGCAGATACAAATAAAACGTTCATGTGTCTACAAATTGTATCACCGATCACATTTATATGAACAACACAAAAAAATAAATTTATGCAAATACCTGTAGCATTGGGTATAAATAATAATATATTAATAACCATTAGGCTATAAAAAAGGGCTTGTACAGTTTTATAAAATGCGTTGTTACAAATGAAACTTGCTTGTTGTACATGTGAAAACCTCTTCAAAACCGTCTGAACAATAGAAATAATCATTATTCCTATTAACTTAGTAAATATAAGCACTTATAAATCAATCATATTTTTTTTTTTCTAACACTCGTTCGGAACGCAAACTTATTTTCGAAGAATGTACAAGTAACTTGCGTGATGGTCTATTTAATAAATGCAGTTTCTAATAAATAGAAGTAGGCGACAATGACTATACGGATTCATTGAAACGTAAGACGTAAACATTTTTTGGTGTGTTTCGTTTATTTATTTTCAATATAGAAGTTAAATAAGTTCAATGAAAACAACAACAGTAAGTAGGTAGTTGAGTTGTATTTATTAAACTTCATGAATAAATTTTCAATCCTTAAGACTGACACTGAACAACAAACTTGTTTAGAAATATTATTTTAAATCTGTATTGAATAAACTAGAAAATACTGTTTTAAAAATCTATACAGAAACCTACATCAACAGTGAGTATACCTAATATAAGAAAAAAGAAAAAATAATTCTATCATTTTTTGTAATAATTTCATCATTCGTTATATCTAACAGCCACATTAGTAATAATACAGTGTCGTGGCTATCAACATCCACTACCTTAAGACAGTAGTGTTAGCGTTTCAGTAGTAGTATAGATGTGATATATCTAGTACTTTATATATCTGAATAAAGTCTCATACAACAAGTATATTTTTTTAATTTTTTTAATTTAAATTTATTTATTCAGATAACAGAGATCCAATTTGTTAGTAACAATTGTACTTAGCCTATGTTAGTATATCTAAAATTACATATTATCGTTTAAGGGCCCCCGTAACACTTTGGGTTCAAAAACAAGTATTGGGCTGTCAAATTTATTGCACAGCATGTTTAGAATGCTGTTACTGCTGCTCCGCTGTCTGTGCGATATAGAGACGATCCGTTTGCATCTGATGGCATACAGGTCGTCTGTAGATGCTGCTGCAAACATTGTGGATGCACTACAGAAGCGCGGCAAACGCAACAACATTCAGAAAACATTATTGTATTATTGAACTCGCAGAGCGCTGTATGCCTGCTGCGTATAGTTAACCCACAAGCTGCTCGTGTAGAAAGATTGACAGTAAGCTTTAAATAATGTTATTTTTACTTCAGTCGAACAGCGAGCGAACCTGCGAGATAACATATTACCCCTTACAGCAGTGCAGTATAAATAACATCTAAAATAAATAAACATTTCCGAAACTAAACAGCTTTCCATATCTATTCACTACTAAAGCTTAGCTAGTAGAGAATAATAATAATATTAAGTCCGTCTATCGTAACAATATTCAATTATTTAAAAAAATATAGTTGCAGTTACTCATCACTGTGTGTATAACTTTCAGGCAGATCCTAAGAAAATATGAAAATAAACTTCTTTTAAAAAAATGGTAGTTTCTTTTAAAGATGGCGTCCTACCAGATGCTAAGTGGTACATACATGAGCACCCAACGAATATCACGTCATCATGTAACTTCTGTGCCTAAATGTACTTAGAATACTTCTGTCAACACACAGTGCTATATGAGTCTTCCATTTGTTTACGTCTTCTACATAACTTAGATTTAACTTCAGTATAAAATCAGTCCACATTATAACTCCGCGTTGACTATTTGCGTTAATGATAAGCCCGAGTAACAATAAATGAAATAAAATTATTACTTGGGAATGTGAATTAAAATTTCAGACTCACTATCAAGATACTTCTGGGAACAAATAAGTAGCGATATCTCATCATATCATACATATTTTGTTACTAGCTGTACTCGCGACTTCGTCCGCGTGGAATTTAACTTTATTTTTCTAAAATCAAATAGTTTTTTATAAAATAAAGGTAGCCTAAGTTACTCCTTATTACATCAACTACCTGTCAATAAAAGTCTCATGAAAATCGGTCCAGCCATTTCAGAGATTAGCCGGAATAAACAGACAGACAGACAAAAATTGTAAATAATGTGTGTATGTACTGTATTTATACTCATATGCATGTAGTGAAAAACGGTTATTTCAATATTACAATCATACACTCCAATTTAATTTATATGTATAGATTGAGCTGTTTGGGTTATAACCCATTTGTTATAGATCTACAGTACTGCGACCTACGGAGATCTATTGAGCTCGCTCTTTTTTCAGAATTCACTACAATTTCACCTACCACCACTACCATCTGGGATAGGAATTGAAAGATAATCTATAAAATGATGGGATATCCTCATGATATCCCATCATTTTATACTTTCCAAAGGAGATACTTTGTTTATCAATGAGTGATCTCATATATAAGGCTACAATGGTGAGGAGATACTCATCACGGTTCACTTCCTTTCTGATACATTAACATTTCGGAGAACTTAGGAACTATGACAATAGTTACAACATACCTTAAGCAAAAAGTTGAAATCGTGTCGTGGCAATGTTGAGGGAATGATGGAAGAATATTGTCACAAATCTGCCACTGTAGTAGTATAGCTCGACCGTCAAAAGCATAGCTCTTGAATTATGAATGATGTTATCATGTCTATGTGACCTATAATTACACTGACATATCTCAAACTGCAAACCATAATTCATCTATGATACCTCAAGGCAATTTTCGACTAAAATAGGTGATATTTTGATGTAATTTAATTTGTAATGGCAAACAAGCTAACAGTCTTCCTACCCGTAAGCTATAAGAATCGCCTATATATAGGACATCACGTTATTACAATACCGCTAATGTATTTTCTTTCCAGAGTACTAAGATCGTGGCTCTTATCCTGTAATTTCACTACATAATCTGACCTGAAGTTAACAGTTTGATGTCACTAAAGTACTCACGCAATTGACTTTTTATAATACTCCTCTACTACCTGTGGTAATTGATCTTTGTCACGTGTATGTTTAGGTAGTTGTAACATAATCAATAAATACTTCTTTCATTTTTGCTCGTACTATATTTAGTTTGTCCCTTCATTTTTTCAAAAGAAGCTTGTCAAACAATATATTCGTTGAACTGGAATCGTGTTTGCTGATTTCATTATATTGTATGCCAGTTAAATTTGTTTCTTTGTGCCAAATTGTACTAAGAAGTATTAAATTGTTCAGCCGTACATTATTTGAACTTACTGTGTATTTATGTGAATGACGTGCTTCAATCAGTGTTCTCTCCTTTTTATTATACGTTTAATACTTCTACCTACAGGAACTACGAAAATAAACTTTCTTTATGAAAATCGTAGAATATACGTAGTAAAAATCTACACAAATTTATCTCGAACAATTTTTGTTACTAGTACAGAAAGCTAATAATGATTAAATACACCATATATATTTGTAGTGTGCGGAATAATTTATTAATTAATGGATTAAGTTTCATCATAATTATTTCCCCATATATATATGTATATATCTAAATACACATTTTTTATACGATACATACACAATATGGTTTAGGAATTTTTGATGAATTTTATAGTAACCTTCTTTCTTAGGTAGATACAGGGTTAATCATTTTTTTAAGTTTTATAAATAAATAGTTATCAATTTGCTTGTAAATTTAAAGTACACACACATGAGAGATAAGATATACCTAATATCAAAAACTACTTTAGCCTTATTATTAAAACGTCGAGAGTTGACGAAGTCCTGACTACCCTATCTAGGATTGCAGGCGTGATATGTATACATGTATGTATACACAGGCAATATTATAATCATATAAAAAATAACATGACTATTTCGAGTATAAGAAGACTTAACTTTTAATATTGATATTAAGAGATCAAATTCATAGAGCATTTAAAATATTTATAGCTTTAATTATAGGCTAAGGAAGAATACTTATTGGTATAATTTCATTAGGTACCTTGCCTAATGAAATTTTCGTATCTAGGTACGATTATTAAATGAGATGCTCTAAAATATTTTAAAACATCTCTTAGATGGGGTAATATTTATAGAATATAATTTGTAGGAATATATTTTATGATCGTTCAAAAAGTTTCATATGAGGGGTATAAAAATATGGGCAAATTAATAAAACGAACAATTAATTATTACGTTTTCTCAATTGCTTGTATTCATAACATTACAATGATGTCACAGATATATCTACAATCAGTTTATTTACCATGAAATACTATTCGAAATAACACGGAAAATATAATGAAAATATTGTGATCCATTAAGAAAATTCGAAATAAATTTTTTTTAATATTTAAATAAAAAAAAACTAAATCTTATAGTGATAGAATTTTGTAATTAAATAAAATAACAGTTGGTAGTAATACGTAATTATTTAAGAAAGAGTTACAGATGATATTCTGAACGACTACAATTTCTGATACTATTATGATATAACTTACGATCTATAAGAATAAAAACGAGCACGTAATAATTTATTAATGACTCATAAAATTACACCAAATTAGTTCTAAGTCCAAAAATATATTGCTTATTGCAATATACACTGAAATTTTAAATAATGTTACAAAACCTTAATTTGACGGGTGAAAAGATAGAAAAGGAGTTTATACTCTATCGAGTTTTAGGTTTTGTATAAATTGATAGATATATAATAGACTGTGGGATATTTAACTGAGAGAAACGGCATCTATTTATTAAATAGCTTATCGGCACGACAATGTATACAATGGTACTGTTCACGAACATTTATTTGTGATTTTTATGATAGATCCCGTACTGTTGCACCCCTCATCTCCTTCTGGCATAAGTCAGCCAGGCTGGTAAGTCCGGCTTCTGAAACAGAATATTTAGTTTATTATTTGTCTAGTTTAATATTACTAATATTATAAACGCGAATGTTTGTGAGTATGAATGGATGTTTCTTACTCTTTCACGCAAAAACTACTGAACGGATTTGATGAAACTTCACAGTAATAAATATTCTTGATATATAGCTCATATATCAAGAATAACATATAGGCTATAATTAAAAAATATATTATACGAATACAACAATAAATGCCAAGTAAGTGTGAAATATATGTGAAAATGACAATTTAGTCCTCCAGAATGGCAACGCATGAGTGGTACCAAGGGATTAACATGACACGTGATGTCCATAGTGCTGTCACTTTTACCACTTACCATCTTGGTAGCTTGTTTGCATTTCATGTAGGTATAAAAATATGACTTTATAAATTAATACTAAAGTTATTTTACAATATACATAATAACTAAATGTGAATAACTGTGTGGTAAATTTCAATTGTACATTCGTTTGAAAAAAGCAGAAATTTGAACTGAATTTGAATTATAAATGACGTGATAGAATCACAAGAAGTGACTATACTAATAAAAAGTGTTTTGTTTTTCGTTCAAACTTAGAAGGTACTAATAATAGATATACTATTATAGAGAATTGATACTAAAATAGTATAAATTCTCTCTGTTCGTTGTACAGTTGTTTAATTTAATAGTAACTCTGTTTAATTTAAAACGAAATAGCATTGTGTATCCAGGGTTATTTCGTCATTAATTATATATCTATATTCAGTGCCATTTTATAGGTACCTAAGGGATATAAAGGATCCTCGGTGGTCTGGTGGTCTAGTGGTCTAGCACACCGTTTTATTTACGGTGGTCAAGGGTGAGATTCCTCGAACAATGCAAACATTTGTATTCCTGAGTATCATTAATTGTATCGATCTGGGTATTTTCTATATATGCTATAAACCTATTTACAAAAAATGTATCTAGTATCAGTTTTCTAGTAAATACTAATGAGGTATGAATATACCTCAACACAATATGAATAACGGACGTGCGATATGAAATAACGATAGCAATAGTAGTTAATGCACTGGATTTTCACTTAACGTACATAGACACCTACATAAATACACAATGGAAATAAAATGGTTTTTAAAAACAGAAATTCAGTTGAGTTTCTTGCCAGTCCTTCTCAATTAAATCTGTATATTGAACTGGACGGTACGGACAAAAATATTAATACAAAAATTTTACATTCGGCTGATATGACATTAGGCTGCTAAAATGTCGTACATGAAAAAAATATTCCTAATTTGATTTGATTTGATTTAACATGCTCTGCTTATCTTATGACTACATAGTGCTGTCTGAATTGTCCTGGGTTTTATATAAGATATTAGTATTTCATATGTAACACAATCTCGGTAACAAATTAATACAAATTTAATTACATAATTCTTCAAATATAAAGTTTATTGTCGGCGCCATATGATGACTATTAAATTAAAAGTGCCACGTCTTCTGTATTCAATAAATTTCATAATTAGAGTACAATTTTGAATACAAATTATTTTATGATCTACGTGAGTGGAATGCTGAGTAAAATAAATTTCTTAATATTATTAATAACTAAATTATATATAATATTCTTTATTAACATCTTTTTCGATACTTCTATATAGATATGTGAGTATTTATGAGAAATATTTTAAGGAGTAATTGTGTTATTATTTTATACATGACGACCTTTTCAACATTCTATTTAGGTGGATTTCTTATTACGCTTTATCATATTAAATATAAATACTTAGGTTATATTGAGGTTTCTGTTCGAGAGGTTCTTTTTCGCGGGTCGTTCTAAACGGAAAATAGAGGTGCTCTATGAGAACTATAGGAAACCCCCCTGGTCTTCAAAATGAAACCGATGAAATTCAAACACATTCGCATGATAAAAGGACTGAGAAATGGGGACTATTGCTGGCAGACCTTGTTAAATCGATCTCCACGTTGTCCCTGTGGATAAGTCCTGATGGGTTCGCCACAAAGGACCTACTGACCTAACTTTGGTATCATCCTGTCATCCTGTACTCATCCATACATCTATGGCCATCTAAAATATACATACAAGAATCTATGAAACCTGACAATTTCGTTTTTGTTTGTCCGAGCTAATCTCGAAAACAAATAAATGATACGATGAACTAATACTGTTAACGCCTTCTATTTACCTTCGTAAGTGAGGAGTTATTATTAGTGAATCTTAGGTTTCAGGTTCGTTTATCTATCGGATTAATAATAAGAGATTGTAAAATTTTCCAACAATAACTTATACAGGTATCATCTGTCTATTTTAAAAAAGATAAGACTATGAGATGGGCAACGAATAATATACTAACGACTAAGAACTATAAAAGTAAAAAAATATATATATATTTTAATAGACCCACAGAAATAAACTTTTTTTTATTAAAATATATGCTTTGAAATATCATCAAAATCTATACGAATTCATAAACAAGACGGAATTAAAAAAAAAATAGTGAAATTAAGGTCCTTTTCAATTTTGAAGTTGGTTAAGTTAGGTTAATATAGATCCTGAAAATTTAAACGCCTCCACAAAATCGCCTTTGAAGCGGTTTATTAAATTATTTTCTAACATCCATTACTTAGTGTAAGTATTTAAATTTATTTGAAACCTACGAATAATAAATAGAAATAATATTTATAAAGTCTGGGTCGTGTTTAATTATCACTTCTAATATTACAAAATACGTTTATAAATTATAGTTTCACAATTCACACATCGCCATCTAGTCCTAAGCTAAGCAGAGCTTGTGTTGTTAGTACTGTACAACAGATACAAGTACATAGATTTTTTTGTAAATAGATAGATAATATACTTAGAAAATATCCAGACCGATACAAACAATCATAGTCATAAATACAAATGTACGCATCGTACAAGGATTCGTACCCACTCCACTACCATCGGAACTAAAACGGTGTGCGATACTGCTAGACCATCGAGGCTGTCAAATAATATTACATAATAAATAATCTATTAATGTAATGTGGATGATGTTGTGAGCAGAAGGTAGTCTTAACTAAATTTTATGCAGTTATATAAATATATTATATGTAGAGCCATCCGATATTTATCGCAGATCTATAAAGCACAATATGAAGAGGTGTATATTACGCCAATAACCTTTCAAGTATCGCCGCCAGTATCCAGGGATTTACACCAGATTTTATTGGTTTATCAAAGGACCCTGAGGGATGAATAATTTACTCGTCACATAAATCGTTATACATTTATTCAGCTCGGTGAATAGGCACTTGGATGAAAGATGAAAATCGAAGCGTAGTCTATGGTTGATTATAGTCAGTTTTATTTCACTATTGTAGTTTATTAAAATCAATAGTATATTATTATATGACGAGAAAAGAGTTTTATAATATGTTACCTACTAACTAGCCCCGATTTATAGCTGTTTGTTCACAACGATTTTTGTATACATTAACAAAACGCATAGCTTATTTCATTAGAGAATAATATATCTTTCAACTAGAAGAGAAGGGCTGAAGATCATGCCCAGTGGCATGCCTTGGGAGAGGCCTATGTCCAGCAGTGGACTGCAGTGGTCTGATGATGATGATGATGATATCTTTCAAATGGCTTATATATATATATATATATATATATACCACACATTTGGTATTTTATTTATATACCACGCTTTGCCTCTCCGGATGACAGACACAAGGCACAGAATTAAGATACACTTACACAGAGTAAATGTCCTGCCTACTATTCTGTATCTTACTGCTCTATCTCGCCCATCAATCGCAACACAGTTTAAAAAACGTGCTACTTGCTGGCTGCAATAGGTGAGTCTGAGGAATCTCACCTATTTCATGTATGTATTTATCTCTACATAAGCACACAACATTTAGGAAATCTACCTTATTTATCTACTACAAAATGTAGGTTGTCTTTAAGTAATTAATCTTTGTTTCTACCCATGCAAAATGGGGAGGATCGCTAGTATTTTCTATACGTATTATCTACGTCTCGAAAGTTTAACAAATTAATAATACAATAAAATTGGATTCAAATAAGGTAATTAGTACGTACGTTTTCGCTTAATGAATTTCGAAAGAGCTCATTTGCTTGAAAACTTTGGCTCGAAACTTAAATTAAAGTAAGAAGATTGAAGGTGATAAAATTGAAAGTAGTTACTCACCTCGACGTCCTTAGCCCAGTTTGTGAATGCATCCGAACGTTTTCCAAACCTGCGAACAAAATATAACAATAAATAAATCATTATTTATTTTAATAAATAAATAATATGAAATTATAACCCAGGGCAAAAAACGCCATTTAGTCTCAAACTCAGCAGAGTTTGTTCCATGGATACAAAACAACTGACAGGAGTATGTAGGAATTTATTTACAATACTGTTCTCTATGTACATAGAAAACACCCAGCCCTATTTGAATATTAATACTCATGAATACATTTTTTTACCTCGACCGCGATTGAGCCACCAACGGGAGTAAGACAGTGTGAGTATGATCCAAATACTGTTATATAAAAAAACTATGAATAAATCCATCTCAAGAGTTTACACAGCAAATTTAAAAAGTTAATGTCGTAAAAAAAATATATAATCAATATTGCACCGCTCTAAAAAATTTACTATCTTTCTTGAGTTTCTATGCATCATCAATATCAAGCACAACGTTGTTACCATTACCATAAGTTACCATTTCTATTCACACTTAGGATTATGTAAAAGGCAACAACATATAACAAAGATTATGTAAAAGGGAAACCAAACACCAGACCAAGGAAAGAAAGCCGAAATAAAACACTACCCAGTCTCTACGGCAGCGTTGTAAAAAACTTAATAAACCTCTTGTATGGCCAATCAGTCAGTAACCAGTCACACAAAACACAGACAAAAATTATCTCTGTCCAGTATTACAGGCCAGAAAGAAAGTGCGAAATAAAAAGGTGAAAATGTACAAAAATAGAAGTAACAATGATGCTGTGTTGTAATATGTATCCGATCTTTTTATGAAGAAATGTACCAAAGGCAGTACTTCAAAATAATTTATGTTTAAATTATTAATTATGTTATAAAATCCTAAATACACATTAGACTAAATACGTTAATCTTGCCGGGAATGCGATTAGTTGATTACGTATAAAAATAAAAATATTAACGCTATCAAAATCAAAAAGGTTTTTAAACGACAAGACTTAAGCTTCATGATCTCCGTAATACTTAATTAGAAATTAGTTACACAGTTACATTTAAAAGAAAACAATAATAAGATTGTGAACTGAATATAACATTAAATCTGCAGTTAACACCTTCTACTTCATAACTAGGCCTTCAAGCATATCTTATGTATGTAATATTTTATTTATTTGTTGTTTTTAATAATTAATTCCAAATACAAAATGCGAATTTCGGATTCAATATAAAAAAGAATAGATTGGTTTCACAACATTCTCTATCCCTGTTAGGTTAATGAGTTCATTAAAGCGCATTAAAGCGCAGCTTCGATAAATATAAAAAAGACAATCCTATTATGAACATATTAAAATATAGAATAAGGTCGTTAATATCCAGACAATATTTTATTCAAATTAAAATTGGAACATTAATATTTTTATTAGCAATGTTTGTATATTGCCAGTTCTTATTAATAAAGATAAACTTATTAATCATAAGTACTTCATGTTAAGGAACTGTAATCGTGTCAGTCTAATAATATTAGTAAAATATTTTCTTAAACGCCAATTTTTAAATTACCAAGTAATCAATGTGAGCTAAAGTACTTGAATATAAAGTTCGTAATATTATTTTAAAACGCTTCCTACACAAGTTTAAAAACATTTCATTTTTAATAAGATAACAGATCATCGACCGACCGAAAAATCGAAAACAAACTTAATAGACGGGAACTGGTACCACCGATCCCAATGCATTTATAATGTCATTGTACACCTTATGCTTTGTCATTCATACTAAATAAAAACTATTTACGTCATCGCCCCTTTTTGACTATCACTTTTTTCACTACATATCTTCAAACTCAAGTACAGAGAACAAGCGTAAATACTTTACTTTTGGTGTCCAACTGCATACTTTACATCAGGTTAGCTCATGGTAACAACTCATTAATATTATCGGGGTCAGGGGAAGAGGATTGTGAGTAGAATTATACTAACCAACAAACAACAAGTCAACATTTGTCAACCTCCATCCTCCCTGGAAACCAACTTGGTTTATACCTTAAGAATTGCCCAAGATACGATAATTGAACTGACTTCATTCTCATACTGTCATCCTCCACTAGTGTCACACAAATGTATGCAGTTTATACAGGCGAAGGTACATTCCTTATTCGTCCATAAAAGAAATACTATTGCATCTCCACAATTGACTTGGGTCTACTCAACAACATTATTGTTTTCCTTAAGTGCCATCTTGTCAGGATCCGATAGTTCCACTCGATAATATCAAATTATGCTTTATGACAATATGCCTATATTAATGTTTATTTATTGAAAACTAATAAGAATTCCATAAACGTGATAAGTAAATTTATTTATATTTATAAATAGCAAAATATATATTTATTCACTGGAAAATTATATACGAAAAATAAGATTTATTAAAAATGAAGAGCTAACTCGACATGAACGAAGTTTATTACGTCTTATTTAATTATTAATATTATTTAATTTATTTTTATATTAGTATTTGTACAAGCAACCAACGTACATTATTTGGTAGCATCGGTAAATTTACGTAAGGCATTTCATACGTTATTTCACGAAAACTAATGACATATACATACATATACTAAAGACATACATATATATACTTTTATGCCACTGTTATTAATAATTCACGTTTTAATAGATTAAGAAATCAATTTGATAACTATAAATGTGCCTTGCCAATAATTTTACTACAACTATTCAATGTTTCATATATCTTACCATTATTTGACAATGTTTTAAATGTCATTTATTAGCAACTGAGTTACATAATATGACTGTATTATTATGTAACTTATGTAATTTCGATATTCAATAAAATTATTACTTCATAATTATTATAATTTTGTATCCATTTCGAATGGCAAAGAACCTGACAGCCCCACAATCCTGTAATTAAAATATTCTTTTAAGTGAATACTATATATTATATAGAACGAATATCAAATAACAGTATTATAATGTGCGAACAACCTTTATTTATACATTTTTCTTATTCTTCCTCCATATTTTTATTTCATACAGCCAAGTATACATAAAATATAAATTATACTAGAACTATGTTTTCATTGTGATCTGTTAATTTATTATGAGCTTGCCTCGTGGCGAATTTAATAACATGAAAGAAAATACGTTTTGAGACGACCATCGTCTACATACATGACCAGCACTAAAGAAATCATGGTATCATGAGACATTCGTAGTTTCCTTTATTCGTTGCTAATGTAGAGGATTAAAATGTCATGGTTTTGAATCCTCGAACCTTCTGGACCCTACAATTCACCACTATATCTCATTTCAATCTTTAACGGAAACACAACTTTTAAATCAAGCTGTTTGGCGCCTAAAGTAGCGGAGATAGAGGTTTTTTTATCTATTATTTCATAAAACTCAGACTTTATTCATTTATTAAACACCAATAATAACAGATTAGGTTAGACATATATATTCTAAACAAATAATATATGTAATAAACATTGTAATTTCAATGTTTACGTAATTAGAATCTATAGAACTCGCAAATACTCGCAACACCACAAGACATAGACAATAGTAACAAGACACATACTTTCCGCCGTATGTTATATTTGATTCATTCTTTATACCACACCTACGAAAACAAGAGAACATCACAGGTCATGTCATAATCATTTTACTTATTTAAAAGATTTATAATTATTTCATCATTTTAGTTCACTTTGTGCAAACTAGATGGCACCACAGGTAAATTTAAATGGCGCTATTAATATTTTTTGGTTATAATGACCTGTCTGTAGTATTTTCCAGTAAATAACCCTATCATCCCTATCGAATGGTAATTTCCATTGTAACTTTTGAACGTCACGGTACCTAGTCCTTTAGAGAGTCGGACAGTATTTTTATGTTATTATTGCAATAGTTTTGCTATGATACTTTTTGCATTATTGTACGTATATTTATCGTACGTTTTGCATTTATTGAAGTTGATATTTGTTTTTTTTGGAATAATAATGACAAATTACAAATTTTATATATTGGATTACAAGAACAAATAGGGATCACATTTAAATATGAAATAACATAACGAATGTAAACCTACATTTGTGGCAAAACTAACTATACTATTTTTTTAAAGAAATATTGATTTCTATTTCTATTTAGGATCGAATGTTAACTCATCGAATTTATTTTTAAATGTGCAGTTGATAAGTCCAACTAAAATGAATCGTCGTTTCGAATGCGAGTAGTTTAAAAATAAATAGATTCCATTGTTTTGCCTCCTACACTACGTTAAATATAGATTTCCATGTAGGTACTCTTCTTTACGTTGTTTTAATTTATTTTGGCTTCGTAATTACACGTAGAAGTTTCTTTCCTCATTCAGAGGGAGAAATGATACACTAACAAAGCAGGTGTGGTATAAAGGTGTTATCTTCACAGGGTAATTTGGAATTATATAGGATGTGAGGACAAAACCGACCGTATAGAGACCATCTAAGTGAAGCATGCAGACATCGAATAGGGATATGCAATATCGATGATAGACGGGCAACATCGATCGTACCTTGGTCGGGTGTGGTAGGAGTAAATGCGGTCTAGATTCTGCAGCTGGATCAGACGCATCGCGCGATCTAACAAGTCTGGGTCGACGCGGTCTCCATCCGCAACATCGCGGCGGTCAATCCTGCCAATATATCGATATCGATAACAAAGTACTGTTCACAACACTGCGCTCTGGTTTCGACCAAGATACGATATTTTAATGAAGGAAGTATGTAGTCTCAGTTTTAGTTAAAAGGGCATATTTGCAATGACTTTTTTGTGAAAATGATGGCAAAGGAAACGTATCGAAAGTTTTCAATGTATTTGTCACGTGTTATATTATATTGGATGTTATTAGTGTTGAATTATGGCGCAAATGAGGTCCCAGATTCAATTCAATCACTTGAAATAAACGTTTTCATATTATCCCAGGCCCTATTTCATATTAAGATGTCCCGAGACATATTCAAAATGTTTCAACGGCTGTAAATTCACCATAGGATGACGATCTCTGTAATTCTCTAGTAGATACGTAAATTTACGTGTTAAATACTGTATATAGGTGTACATAGTCGTTAGTACAATAATAGGATGACAACTTGTTAGATTCCAGCATAGATGCATTAGATGCCGTGCCTATAGGAGGTTGTAAATTAGGTAGGACTCTCGTATTACCACTCATGCGTTGCCTTTCGAGAGAACTAATGACATGCCTCTTATTGCCTGTAACTATTACTGCTTGTAATGTAACCTTTATGTGTGTACTGAAGATATAAATAAAATTCTTATCTGTCTGTCTGTATAATTTCACTGATGCGATTTGTATTTTTATCTACATTATGTGGGTGGTAATAATTCAAACAATAAAGACGAATGAGTTAATAAAAAACTAATAAGTAAAGTTATTTTAGTACCGCCTTATTTCTTAATGTCAAACCCATTTTCTATTATATAATTGCTTTTTTTTCTCCTTATTAATTATTTATTTTTGTATCTATATCTACTAAATAAAAAAAAAGCTACTTAAAACAATGTGAAACCATCCAGAATAATAACTTCTGTGATTGAATAATTCAAAGATGGGCATCTTCCATTAAACATGTCCCAGATCAACCTACACAATTTGCTAATGTTCTAATTCATCATTTTATTGTTTATTAATTTAATCAGCTCACAAATTATTGAATTACTATCAAACTTCCAAACGTCGTTTGTTCTTCGGTTACTTGAAACTTTTATTAACTTATACATTAATTAGATTAATTTATATAACAATTACATTAATAATTTTAGATTTTATCCACAAAAATGGATTTGAAACGTTTAAAACTATTACTACTCGATATCACAAAACTTTATAATTGTTGGTATACCTAAGTCGTTTGCTTTAGTAACTCCAACATAGGGGTACTCCTAAAATAGACTTCCAACAACATATTTCTAGTGATTGCGGACAAAGTAAACGATGTTTTTTTTATACTATGATGGCGCAAATAAGCGTATGGCCTATCTAATGGTAAACTGTTACCGTAGCCTACGGGCGCCTAAAACATTAGGAGTGTCAAGTGCACGTGGCCGACTCTTAATATACCCTTGTTGAAAAAAAGTTCGTTTTGTAAAATAACAGAATGGTCTAAGACTAAGACATAATATGTTCATGTTATCATGATATCACGTTATCTTATGATAAACAGCTAACAAACTATTTTGATATTCTTATTATGTAAACTGAAGTCAAACCAAAGTTTACTCCGAGAGGCGGCGGGAGGTTCACTCACGTTGGATTCAAAGTATACCGAGTATAGTGGGCATTTTAATAGTTGCATTAAACCACTTCATCTGTGACAGTGACAATGCCTCTGACTACCCCGTCTGGGATAATAGGCATGACGGCATATTATTATAAAATTAATACGTGAAGCAAAAACTTTGTATCTCTTTTTTTTTAATTGGACTAAGTAGTATAAAATTTCGGACACTAATAGTTTATGTAGAGAAGGAGTACAGAATGCTAATATTTATATTAAGTATTCATAAAAATTACAAGAAATAAAACAAAAAAAACATTACGCACACTACCATGTATGTATTTGACTCATACACGTAAAAGTATAATCTTTGACAATAGAACCTTAATAACGTTCAAATTTATAGTTCAAATTAATTACCATTCAACGAATTCTAGTTATTATTATCAGCAATGGTTACAGGCTTATTAAATCAAAGGTAACAATATCTAGCAGCAAAAACAACGAAAACAATAACAAGAAGGATAATAATGTTATTTTTGTTTGTTCTCTACATATAACAATATCTATTGGTCGAACGTCATAGAAACTTTTGAGGATTGATATCATTATGAAAATATAGGGACACGTGAAAGTTTTTGTCCTTACTATTTATAGTAAACAGGAAGCTAACAAACCATCTAAATTTATTTTCCAAGAAGTCTTTATATAAAAATATAACAGGATTGCGAAATTCAAATTGATAACAAAGGACTTTATTCCGATAACCGTAACGCTAATAATAAACTGAGAACTGAAATTAATTAGAGAGATGGCAGTAAACTTTCTCTCAGTGAGTTTTTTTTAACTAGCTGGTCTTTATAGCTTTACTGAACGATACAAACGGCTCAGATGGCAGTCCAAACCCACGAAAGGATTTATGGAGCGTCTGAAGGCCAAGTCCTGTCTGACGGATACAATTTTAGTTTGAGGGCACCGCTAGGAGTTAGAACTCGGCTCAGGCTGTCGAAATTTGGATTTCCGTTTGAATTGAAGAGGGGATCGATCGGCGGACCATTCTGGACGTTGACTATTAACAATAGTCAAATACATTGACTAACCCATGTAAGAAAACTGTAATAAAGATTTATTGTCATAGAATCAGCTAAATTAGGTGAAGGTTATCTTATATGTTAACATTATAAGTTATTTATATATTACTATTGTGTTGTCATATTGTTGTATATTAAATTGCACAACACTTCTTGTTATAAAATTTCTTATTCTAACTTCTTGTCGGAAATATACATTCGGAATTAGTGGTAAAATAAAAAATAAAATGACTGACTCACCTACTAACTGAAACATAATTTACAAGTCTTGTGGTTAGGTGTGATTAGCTGAAATTAGTCAGACAGAGGTACTGAATCTTAAGTTTGTAAATCTGGTAAAAATATCAAAATATCCAAACCACTGATAATAATGTTACTTTGTAATCCCCACTTCAATCTTTGTAATACGTCATCTTTGTACTTACATTACTATAGCAAAAATGTGAATAATATTATTAAATTGCATATTGTGAGTATTGCATCGTAATCTAAATATAAACCTTTACACTAGATAAAGTTTAACAAGCGATAATAACGTTAACACTTCAACGTGTCGGCTAATTAGCTGAACACTCGAACAACTCATTAACTAGTGCACGGAACCGTTAATATCAACATATCAGTATTGGTTTTGGACGGATGTATAGTTTTGACACTTATCCATATGTTATCTTAATGTAAATAGATATTCCCAGTTTTACTCTGTTACAGCACAGTGATTATCATACGCAATAATGAGGCATACATGTAAATCAATGAATTTCCTGGACATATAATAAATATGATTTATCTGAACAAATATTGAGATTCTAAATTTAAAATTATATTAAAGATCTCAATTAATGTGTCTATTTATATTTATTATTTGAATTTGGAATTAAAAACGAATTACGTCGTCAATAATATGAATTATATTGCCTACGAGTTCAAAAACTGTACGTCATATATTGAGTCATAGTGAAAAAACAGGAAATTTAACACTGTAACGTTTCAAATTCAATTGTAAAATTCACTAATATTAAGATCACACATTTATAAATACTAATGGTCATACAGTGATCGAAATATAACTATAATAAAAAATACAAAAAGATGGATAGATGCATGGAATTTACTCTTTCGAAAAAAATAAATGTATTTTAATATATACCGTTTACAATAATACTAGCGTTTAATGTTAACACATTTTTTATAAATTTAATGTATTTTTATACATAATTAACAAAAAAAATATTATATATGCGGCGTTTCTATATAAACTATAAATGTTTTTTTTTATAGAATTTAATTTTTTTATAATAATTAAAAAATTTTTTTGCACCCCGTCTCTATATAATATTATAAATGGCGAAATTTTAAATTTCCAACTTCGACATTTTTGACATTGACAGTTTTTGAATATAATATTATATTGAAGTAGTTTTAATAATTCAAAGCAATATTTCAAATGAATAATATCTAGAAACTTTTTAGCATTGTGTGACTCCATTAAATTAATTATGCCAGTCAAGAACCCAGTAACTTTTCTATGGAATATAAAACTTACCTAAAAATATATTTATTCATTCATTTCATGAATGAAGGAACGCTTATGACAGAGATTTTAATACTGTATTGTATTATATATATATAATACCCATAGATACCTAAGAAATTCTATCTATTCCCGACTACGTAGAGTGTAGAGCATTTACAATGAGCAAAAAAAACAGATAGAATTAAATTGAATACATTTTTGTAAACACATACTTACAATACATAAAAAAACACTCAGCGCAAAACAAACGAACGTAGTCATGAATACAAATGTAAGGATTTAATATAATAAAAAGTAATTACAGAAAAAGAATAATTCCATTTTTACAAAAGTCAATTGAATTTCCCTAACAGTAAATAGAAGGGCTCTCAATTTGATTATATATTTTTATGTGTATAATACTATACATAATAAAATAAAATGACTGCTATCCTGGATCTATCTGTGCACCAATAATTAATCTATTTAGTTGTATTGTTAAAGCGTTATTGAATAACACTTTTTTTTCTTTCTTTCTTTCAAAAACTGCATAAACTCTACATTTACATATTATTCTAATAATTATGTACGACGTGTTAAGAGAACATTTATATAATCTCCGACATAATAATCGCAACATTTGACCATATTTTGCTGGGTTTATATTAATTCTACGTAGTAAGGAGACAAACAGCCGTCTTTCTGTTTTTTTGAGTTATCAGTGTTTCCTTTATCAGCCAGAAATATAAATTAACAGAAAGTTTTTTGTAAAATCCAGATTTGAATT